CCAATATTTGGGTGAGCCCCGGTGGCTCCTTGAAGGTCTCTGATAGTATCATACTACTAGGTCCCATTAATCATGGAGTTCTATAGGCCTACTGGGGACCACAGCCAAAACCTGGCCCCCCCCCTCACAGATGTGAAGTGTGGGATGGCATTTATGCATTAATTTATTCATGAATGCCACACACACACACCCTTCACTTGGTCTTGTACGATATCTGTTTGACAACTAAAGAGGACAGCAGGTTCTATGTAGATGACCTTGTGTATAGTTCTAGCCTCAATCATCCTGGCAAGATGATCACCCTAACACCATACAATGCGTTGACAAATACAAAAGTCTTTATGGAGCAACATTAGAGGGCAATGTAGCTGATTTGCCTACACTGCCCTACCACCCATGTACACATTCGACAAAGGACATCCTCTCTGCTAGCCAAGTGCTTATGATGGTTGAAATTGTAAACTGCTACAGTAGCCTTACTAGAAACCTTTCCACTTGCTGTCAAGAATTCTGAAGAACATCACTATCAACTGTCAGTATGCTCAAATGGTTGTCAAGTGAAATCGGTGCACTTTTGACACACTCCAGTCATGCCTATCCCGGTTACTTTCCCCACATTCTTTTACTCACAAAAACATGACTCAGCTACACCTATGCTGCCACCACCAAATCATTTAGTCAAGTCTGGCAAGTCTGCTGGCCACCAGCAGACCCTCCTCCAGAATTGCCTGTCATTTTCTTTCATCAACAAGTTCCATCTCCAGCTCTAAGCCCTATGGCACCTACTAACAATACAGACAATAACAACAAAGATGTTGACATGGAGAGTTACTAAACTGATATGGAATGCACTGTTCACAGTTGATTCCTGGACCAATGGAGGGAGAGAACAGGTTCAGTAGTACTCTACAGGTAGAGTACTGTAGATTCATTTGCTGTGGCTGCCCTTACAGCACAGCATGATTTAGAAGAAATGAGCAGCAGCTCCCAACAAAGGCCAGTCTAGTCTCATCCCTGAGCATGTAACAATATGAAGACGTAAGATTCAAAACCTGTCTGCAACAGAAAATCTATCAAATTAACTTTTTAAATTATCTAGAAGGTACAGTACAGTACTGTTCAAAATCTCAAAATATATGTATTGCTACATTCATACATAGCATTAGAGGAAATCTATAACTAGCATTTCATACAAAATTGCTGGACAAAACTTGATAACTCAACCTTCTGCCGAGTGGAACAATGTTGGTCTGACAATTACATGAAGGTATGTATTCTATTAAATGGCCATGAGTTAATTTTGCACATCCAATAAACAAGACATTTTCCTCTTATTTTGGTGGCAAGAGGAAGGCCATAGAAATAAGTAACATTAATAGTACAATATACAGCAGTACAAATAATTTTATGGTTTCACATTTCCCATCAATCATAGCTAGAAAGCCTTTTAGGCTTATCAAAATCTGCCTAGGCTAGCTACTGACCTTCCCCATAATGCAACTCAAAAGAACCCAAAGCATTATTCCTGGATTTGTATTTACTGACAGGGCAGCAGTGGCATCAGGTAAAAGAAAACACACTCGAACGTCTCAATCCTGTGTGGGAATTGTACCTGGGACTTTTTGGTTGTGAACCAACTGTACTAACCATCTAACATACTAACAGTTGTAGATCATGTTATGAAAGGGTATGAATCGGTAAGAAAATTCACTTCTGAAAGGTTGTGCAGAATCTGCTATAGTTGTTAAAATTTTGAATTATCAGTTAAATATTATTTTTTTACAGTGTGATCTGTAAGTTCAGTACCTGAGGTACTTTTTAGAAGGTCTATTGTTAGAGGTCTGAGGCAGCCTCCAGACTCACCTCCAGGACAGTGCCCTTGATACTATTTGTGTATCCCTTACTGAAATCAGCATTGCACTCCTGGCCTAATTAATTAGTATGAAGACAAAGTGTTTTCAGATGATCTATTATGGTATTTTATTATTAATGAGTAATCAATCAACATTCCCTTATTGACACATGGACTTTGAAATTATGCATTTAATTTGTTCCCACACTATGTATGCACATCATCAGACATTTGCATTTAATTTTCATACTTTGCATACACATTCATTGACAAACAAAAATCAATAAACACAAATTCCTCTGTTCCTTTCTAAATAACCAAAATGAAAACCCCTAGCTGTCCTGGTTAACAGGCATTTAAAAGTAGTTACTGGTACAAGTTCTATCACAAATCTGTACTACTTTTTAGTAGTACTACTAGTAAATAGTACTACTATTTCTGTACTAGCACAAATTGTATTACAATACACCTTGTCATATCCAAATGCCCCAGTAATGAGGGTCCTTCAAATGTGAGTATGGCTAAAGTTAGATTTTCCTCCCCATATTCTACTACATGAAAATGATTTGGGAACATGATTTTAACTTTAGCTACCTTAATATGAAGTGTAGTCTAATAGGCAATGAAAATGTATACAATATTATGTAGAAAGTAAGTTGTGGAACTTTGTTGTATATCACAATATTCATTATGCACCAATGTAATATGTGGGAGCAAAGTTGTGTATCACCATCTCTGTTTTTGTTTCCTGGTGGTACTTGCTATATACACCTACTTCTTATAGAGGTTATACAAATCCTAAACTGTTGTGACTCTTTAAACAAGAAACTTGTTTTTATTGTGTTATATTCAGATTTTCTTAATTTATTCATATAAACATTAATGCAACTTTACTATATGTATGGTATTAATCAAAAGTTTATGGAAGGAGACATGATCATTTAGGCTGTTCTCAGGTACATAAAAAATAGAGGGTAAGCTGCACATTGTCTAGTCTATTTTCATTGCCAGGTATTGGTTGGCTATCTTGAGGTTATCTTGAGATGATTTCGGGGCTTTAGTGTCCCCGCGGCCCGGTCCTCTACCAGGTCTCCACCCCCCAGGAAGCAGCCCGTGACCGCTGACTAACACCCAGGTACCTATTTTACTGCTAGGTAACAGGGGCATAGGGTGAAAGAAACTCTGCCCAATGTTTCTAGCCGGCGCCCGGGATCGAACCCGGGACCACAGGATCACAAGTCCAGCGTGCTGTCCGCTCGGCCGACCGGCTCCCTAACCAATGTAATTGTAATTATTCATATTCTTATTGTCTTTATCTTTATTCTCCACAATGAACACTCAAATTTTATGTAATAATATTTTTGAATAATAACTACATATTCAAATACACATTCGTATTGATTCCAGAGACATTTGTTGAAAAATCATTACTAATTTAAGTAGACATTTTCAGTAAAATACAATGATTTTCAATGTTAAAAGTCCCTCAGGGCAGGGATATCCCTATCTATCTTGGCCCAAATCAAACTACACACTGACTATAGGTACACTTGAGCACAGATTAAAAAAATGATGGATCTGGGATGCATTCATATATTTGACGATGAGCTGAATGAAGTTATCCCATTTAAATATTGTACAAATCTGGGTATGAAACACCTGGATATGACAACTTGTACTGCTCTAGGACATTTGTTATTAAGGAAGACAAATCTCAGTACAGTGTTTCAAGACGAGTAAAATCCTTATACAGGACTGGAATTGGTCTTCCTCTATAGCTGCTGTTCTAATGAAAAGTGTAGCTTTTAGAATCATTAGGTTAGTCATCCAACTAAACACTGACTACTGAGCAACTAACCTTTCATTATTTCTAAATATGTTAGGTAATGTCATAAAAATTTAGTTTGACCATTATATAAACTTCTTCAAAAAGCCTACTTTAACATTAGTTCACATTCAATTGCCAATGTTTATTGTCAATGCAAGACCACATATTTCAGAGGGTTTTGTGGCATATATATCAATAATAACAAATAAATGAGTAAGACATATAATAAAAATGAGTACATTTTCTTGCACTGCTCAAAGAATATTACCCATTAGAGAGCATTAACAAATATTGAAAGACCAAAATATATATCCCTTATCATTTGATACAAAATTAGTCTAGCTTTCTTTGAATCTATACGTATTTCTGCATTACATTTGTGCATCGTTTGGATACTTTTAGAAGAGTCAATTCAGATGTCACTACATACACCACATGTTAATAATTAATATAAAATACTGTTTGACACTAAGCATTAAAAAAAACTTCTCCAGCACTTAAAGCCAGTACCACATAAACAACAATTAATACATAAATGTATGTTCATAGCACCATTAGAAAAAAAAAAATTAGGTACACATACTGGGCACAAATATACTTTCTTTGATATTAAGAAATGCTGTAATAGTATCATTATTATTTCTTAAGATAATGAACCTCAGTTTTCATACAACAAATGCAATATGGTTCGATACTACTTAAATAACCTTTCACCTATAGTACTATTATTCACTAGTAAAATCAAATAGCAAAAATGTCATATTTGAAATTTTACTCATATTGTTCAGATTAAAAATATTAATAGTTCAGTTAACTGAATAATCAATATATATATTGCTAAAAGCTTTAGCATTTATTGTTTTAAGGCCCCAAGAGACTAAAGCCACTGTCAGTAAGTTCAACATGACTACTGATTGGATGTCAATACTACTGTCAATACTGTCTGAATATTATTACCATTCTCTGATATATCTACAGTAATTCATAGTATTCTATTAAACACCTAGAAATCAGACAATACATCTTATGCAAAAGCTGTTTGAGAGATTCAAAAATAAATATATTTGGAAAAAAATTAATATTTTTGATAAATATAATGTACAGAGATTCAGTGTTTGAAAAAATATTTAATAATCAAATACACTGCATTTACTTATCAGGAAATACTACAATATTTTGTAATTAAATATTAAAATAGTATTACTTAATCAAATCAGTCAAAGTCAATAATTGCAGTGTAACTGAAGATAACGGCTGGATATTCCTGATGTATCAAAATGAATATTGATACAAAAAAAAATTAGGGAGGCATAAGGCAAATATCAGCGATAAATTTCTTTAAATACAGTCTTAATACATTATTTAAATACATTACTTTCTGGAAGTATTGAAGGCAATATTTCTAAAAGTTTCAAAAAGACTAATAAAATACAGTACCTAAAAAGTGTCATAAATAGCAACCTCTAAAAGTGTAAAGACACTAATTTGTTAATGGGAAAACTGCCAGCATAAATAATTATATTTATAATTTTTTCGAGTTTCCCTATGCAGTAAATTTTACACATAATGACATGCCATAAAAATTTTAAAATATTAATCCAGCCAAACTAATCTTGACTGATCGCATTATACCAAACTAATCTTGACTGATTGCATTATAGAGTTTTCATGAAATAATACTTATTAGCTGCCTGAAAACTCCTTGAAGCAATGAGATGTCTATTGCACACTATGATTGACATACTCACATATAGGCATACACTTAATGTATAACAGCATATACTCTGTCTTTATAGCCAAGGTTAAGATCTTCCTTGTTGATAGGCTAACTCTGATGAATAGACTCTGTAATAACATCTAATAAAAAAGTAGATAATTTAACTTATAACATGTATGAGATTCGCCAAAAAAGTTAAAAACCTTTGTACACTGCTACGTACTCACCGGGCAATGTCATATCATAATAATAATAATAATGGCACTAAAATTCCAAGTCAAAATCTTCTCAACCTATTTACAGTATTAAGTTTATCCATGGCACAGTTTTTTGACATCTTGAGAAACTTAATACACATATAAAGGAGCCATAATTTCCAGTATCTGATTTACTTTCCATATCAAAGTTAACAACTATCCACCTATGGTTAAAATCCTCCCATTATAATGCCTTTACCCTGCTTGTAGAAGTTCAGGTACGTGACTATGCTTCAAGATCTAAGAAGTAAACACTATGCAAGCTTATAAATTATTCAGACCAATATCCCATTTAATTCTGGCATAGAACATCTGAAATGATAATTTCACACAACTTTGTCACATATATATCAAAGGCATGTTTATCAATGTTCAATAAATTCTTATGAAAATTCTATTAACGTCAATAAAATTTGTATATCTACACTGATTACCTTGGCAGTATGACTTCATGCATTGCTGGCTCCTCCAGGTGAACTTATCATGCTGAGATAGTGCTGTGATGACCTCTTCAAAACACTGTCAACAGCAATTTGAGCTGCCAGTAGAGGCTCGCTAAGGATAGATGAAAGCGACTGCAACAGCTCAGAAAAATTACTCTCTAAAGCCATTTGGTATTCATACTGATCACTATTTATAACTAGACTGTTCAGATCCAGAGCCTCCTTACAAGTGCATACAAATTCTCTGTTGAAAAAGAAAAAGTAGTCAACCAACATAACATGGAAATAAAAAATACTTAAAGTAAAATGAATTATCCACTAAATTAGTAACTTGCAATTTTTATCACAACTCAATTTCTATTCATACAGAACTACAAGCATAAACTTTAACAAGAAAGTGTCTGATAAACTTTTTAAGGGCTAAAGTCACTGAACTTTTTAATTCACTAGAATAATTTCTTCCTAAAAATTCTAAACAAGATGTTGCTGTGCAAGTTAATTTCTATTTAGATATTCCCTTTCTTCCAAGGTTAACTTCTTTTCTGAGCAGAGGCCACTTGGTTGTTCCATCAGACAATGTCCAGCTAACCACATGATACTGCAAACTCCAGTCTCTGCCAGTGTGAATTTCCAAATCCCATTGCAGAATGTTATGTTGTTGTTATAGATTCAGCTACTTAGAACAAGTTCCAAATAGCATGGGCTATGGTGAGCTCGTAACTTACTTGGTACAGGAGCGGGGCAAGTAGCACAGGCTATGGTGAGCCCGTAGTGGACTTACCTAGCACAGGAGCGGTGCTGTGTCCCCCATTGCAGAAGGATTCTTTTCTAAATGCCCCTACCAGACCGAAACAGAAGGATAGATGACACTGAATTATTATCAATCCAGCCCTGAATCACCATCAGAAGGTACATGCCTCTCCATTTAAAAACCTACTTCCAGTAATACTTTAAAATAAATAAACTGCCAAGTATTGCTCTGCTATTCCTAACAACCAATAAATAGTTGTCTAGTTTGTAGATGCCATCACAAGGTAGCAGCACCGGTATTGTAAACAGTCATGTGTTTAATCACGCTCACTGTCTCCTAGACTCCATACTTATGAAAGTCAACTTCGGCAGCAAAGCACATTTTCTTTTTGTTAAGTGGCAGTTGAGTCATTTTGAGACTATTCAGTCAATGGCCCACTACCAGATCCACGATCATGTGGGTTGAGCTTCTGTTGCCTCCAGGAGGGCTCTCCATCAGAGATTTTGTCTTCAGGCTCCTTGGGATTCAGTCCTTGGAGGCTTCCATCTCCGTTACTAAAGTCCTATCCCAGTGCATGGGATGGGCTCGGGCTTTGTGAGTGATCATTACCAAGCTTGTCAAGCTTGTGGGTCTCTGGCAATGGGTCATTCAAACATAAAAATCCTAGAAATTGTGAGCGTTGATTGTGTTAAAAACCATTACTGACAATTTGACAAGCAGGTTGTGGACCATGACCCTGGGCAACCTGGGCCATGACCCTGGGCAGCCTTGGCCATGACCCTGGGCAATGACCCTGGACAGCCTGGGCCATGACTTTGGGTAGTTATGGTCACTAACTTATAGTGGCTGTATAAGTTAGGGTTATAGTTTGTCTTGTTTTCCTCTTTTTCATTATTTCTTTCCTTCAAGCAGTGATTTGCTTTGTTTTGTGTAATTTTCTGGTTAGTCTTCCTCAGTTTTGGGTGGATTGCTGATATCCAATCTCTCCTTCCTCCAGGTCTGGTCGAGGTTTCAGGTTAAGGTCTGGTCAACGACCGGGCCGCGGGGACACTAAGCCCCAAAAACACCTCAAGGTAACCCCCACATTTCTGAGAGCTCCAGATTTTTGTTGTGGGTCTTTGAAGCCTGGCACGATTCTATAAGATTTGATTGTACAAGTGAGCTTAAGCACTGATGTTACAAAGAATACCTTCCCAGAAATACTTAACTTGTCAAGTATCATCCTAACAAGCAATTAGCTTACCTGTATACATCCTTAAGACGTAGTACTTGATTCATAGGGTATGAGGCTGAATGAGACTCATCGAGGAAAGTTGAAGCATATGCTAATGGTCCAGCATTTACTTGGACACTGATACTGCCCTGTAAACAATATTAAGATATTAAGAGGGACAATTTTTTTTTAATTTTTACTTATTATTATTATTATTATTATTATTATTATTATATATATATAATATAATATCAGTTCCATATAAACACAGCCATGAAGTAAACAATAGCAATGGCCCCCAGTGGAACAATCATTCCAGGGTCTGCCTGGAATGACCACTGAGCATAAAATATAAAATAGAAAATGGGTACAGTCAGAGGAATGCACAGCAAACAGCACCAGATAGGTGAGGAAGGTGGAAGGCTGGCCAACACCCTGGGTGACCTGTACCACCTTCTGGTGGCAGTCATGCACATCATAATTAGTTACCTAGAGTTACAGTACTTAGTTGCAAAGAGAGAACTCTGTCTAGGAAAGAATGATAGGGCACCGATCCTAAACTGTTTTTATAGCAGTACTTGAAAACATAGTTATAAACCAACGGGTTAAAGCCGAGTACTGTAGTTAAACAGGAGAGCTCTGAGCTTGTTAACAAGAGTAGGAAGCCAAATACTTGCTGTTGCATATTACAAAATATTTAATGTAAGAACAGTCTAAAGGTTTGGCTTTAAATACCCCTAACAATGGTGGGGTTTAAGATATTCAGAAAATGTCAACAATCTATTGTCAGTTGAAGGATAAGAGCAGCATACATATTACAGACCATTGCTTTAGTAGTGATATCGCAGATCATATTTGCAATTCTGTTCAAGAACAGTAACAACAAAATTTAAAACTTAAATAATCACTAACATAAATACAGACAAAAACTAATAAATTAAATGGTACAAGTACATGCAAAATAGTATGCCAGTGCATAATACCTGAAGTTTGAGTTGAAGTTTCTTTATATCAGTTGGTTTCTTGTTAATAATCTCCAAAAGTTCCTTAACACGACTTTCCATTTCATCTATTGCTACTTCAATTGGAGACATTTCCAAAACCTAGGAAAATAATATTACTTTATAATATATTATATATGAAATACAAACTGGTTGCATAGAATTAAAAATGCTGTATGAGGTCTAAAGCATGTGCTTGGGGGTACCCAGAGCATAGGTTCAAATCCTCCTCATGGCTCCTACTGATTTTCTCAATGATACATCACATTAATGTGATTTCTTTGTGCAAAATAATTTAGATACGTAAATTGCAAGAAGTCCTTACTTCTGTATCAACAATCAGATTTCTCTTCTTTACATATGGAAATGTATAATCTGTCTTGACGATAACTCTTCTCTTCCATTGTTCCTCCAACTTGCCATGAGCTTTGCCTCCTTGTGTAAATGGCGTTTCAAACATAAATGTGTTGATATTGTTGTTACGGTCGAATTCATTCTGTCGGTTTACTCGCTCCTCCTCCGGGAAGTACGGAGACACATGGGTCACTTGGATGTAAGCATAACGCGATTCCAGTTCATCAGCTTCAACCTGGAAAAAACCCAGCGTTGAATGTAATGAAATGCCATTTTTTGGATGAGACCCGGAGGCTCCCCGGAGCTATCCAGGCTGATATGCTAATATCAGACTTTGGCATCAGTCATGTGAATGGAGTTCTGTGGGTCTACTGGGGACCACGAGCCAGAACCTGGCCCCCCTCAGAAGAGGCACGAGAAGCAATGGCCTATAGAAACCCCCATGTGGTTGGAAGCATTCTATGTCTGCCATCGACCGGGTCAGGCACCCAGAAAGGTAAACATCCCAAAACAAACCCCTATTCTGGTGAAAATTGCTACGAAAAGCCAAACAAGTGGATAGAACTCCCCAAACAGAAACGGGCAAATGAGTATGACGTCACACGTCAGACATCCCAGGTTTCCTTCCTAGGGAAGGAAACCCTAGGCGCATACAGCCCGAGTACTGAAGATTCACTCCTGGCTCACGCACCACCTAGAAGGCAGTCACCACACACAAGGCACAGTGCTGACAACCACTGGAGCCAGAGCACACGATCATTGCCTATAGCATCAGTCTCAGAACCGAGAGATGGATTGCCGGCTCGAGGGTCTGCGGCTCCCCCTTTCACCTACCAGGGAGGGGGGGAGCTACACAGACAGCGGTGCAGCGACGTGTGATGTCATACTCATTTGCCAGTTTCTGCTTGGGGAGTTCTATCCACTTGTTCGGCTTTTCATAGCAATTTTCACCAGAATAGGGGTTTGTTTTGGGACGCTTACCTTTCTGGGTGTCTGACCCAGTCGATGGCAGACACAGAATGCTTCTAATCACACGGGGGTTTCTATAGGCCATTGCTCTTTGTCCCTCTTCTGAGGAGGCCAGGTCCTGGCTTGTGGTCCCCGGTAGGCCCACAGAACTTCAAACACATGACTGATGCCAAAGTCTGACATTAGCATATCAGCCTGGATAGCTCCAGAAAGCCGATGGGGCTCCCCCCAAAAATATACCATTTTCAAATTAGAGAAGTCTATATAATTTATTAACCATGATGCTTACCAGCACTATCTTCAAGTGCAGATACATAGCCAGCCATAAAACTACATATCAATATCTAACACACTGTTTCCAGCAGTAAAGTGAGCCAATGCATATTTCTCTTGTTATATTTATATCATTCTCACTATATTTCATATATCATGTATGCATAGAATGATCAATAACACTTATCACATTAATGCTGCAGTTAAGCACATTGAAAGGTGAGGGAATTCTAGCATTCCCTCACTTTTCAATAAGGTTACTTGCGGCATATCCAATATGTACAGAACAGGAACATGTGTGACTGAAGCACAAGAACACAGCCAATTACTACTTCCCATCAACAGGCTCTGCTCAAGAACTGCCATTGAAACCTTGCAACAAGAACACACATGTGATAACTTCCATCTAATCAAAAATGTCATATATGCCACTGCATATAGCCCAATTTGCTTCACAAAACAGATGTAATACTTACAAAATTTGAATCCATAATCATCTTGACAGCTTCCTTGCCAAACTTGTCACAGTACTGATGGTAGAGACGTTCAGATATCTCTGCTAATGATGTAACTTTGGGTTCCTTATATACATACTCCTTCCCAGCTTCTTCTTCAAAGTAACTCTGATAAAAACAAGCAATTTTTATATTCTAAATACATTGTTACCTAATTTGGTATACAGTACTCAGATTTTTTAAATATGACAATAATGAAAGACAAAACAAAAATGTTTCCATTACTATAAAATATTCTGTTTCCCACACTGAAAAGTTATATCAGCTGTAAAACAGTTTGGATTATTATTACTGGTCAATGGTGGGTGAACAGGTAATTTTTTGCCTGGTGTTCAAAAAGTGTCTCTGTCAAGGGCATTAGCTATGAAAAGTCACATCATAGTACAAACACAATGCAAATACTTAATAATTAATACATAAGAAATATACTCACAGGTCCATAAAAGACAACTCTGTAGTAACGACCAAGTAACCTCTTTTGTGATGCATTAACTTCAACCACACGTGAATAGGCCTAGAAAGCAAGAAAATTATTAAATCATGTGCATTTTAGAAATTGAACTGGAAGAGGGAAAAAATAGATTGCAATGATATGATTAGTTTTTATAAAGAAATCACCAGGGAACTGAGACTGTACTAATATTCATTGGTGGTAAGTACACATCCTCAGAGAATAATGAACCGGTAATCCATTAGGTAAATGAACAAGACTTAATGTATAAGAAGGCTGATGAGAAAATGAACTTGCACCTTACTAGGGGAATGTTAGAGGCAAACAGGAGCTCAAGGCCCCACTCAGTAGGAAGTGCAGAAATCAAACCAACAAGTTATTATGCCCCATATCCCAAAACTAGTGTACACAGCCCAAGACAAAAATTAAAAAATGCACAGGATCAGATGAGAAAGGTGTAGAGCTGGTTATTATATGTCCAAATTAATATACATAGCATTTGTAATCCTGTTTAATAAGGGAATAATACACGAAGGGCAGAAACAGCCAAACAAATCAACAGCAGCAGCAGCACACAACCTAAGCATAAAGTAAACAACTCTGCCTTCCACTGTGCTTCATGGGCAAACAGTTTAACAAGGCACAGTATTTAGAGTGCCACACTAGTGAGCACAAAGAGCTGCACATAGAATTAAATGCACAAGAATCAATAGTGAAGCAGCCAATTCAGAAAATACTGTACTTGCTCGAAATGACACACTATTCTAAGTAGGTGAGGCGGTACCTTCAATGTGCACAAAAAGCACACCGAGCCCCAAAAGCACTGAAATTTACCATAAACACATTGGGTACAGTGAAGAAAACCATGCAAAAGTAAAGCTGGGTAAGTACACTGTTAAGTTCCACGAGTAATCATACAAATTTGCATACGAAGATGATATATAATATGGTTTCCCACTGCCAGGAATAGGAAGCTTGAGAGGGAAACCTCGATATGCCTAGGCCAATGACTGTAATGTAACCCACAAACACTTGCCTAACTATTAGGAACCTAGATACTGATAAATGACAAGAGGCATCAGGTGTAAGGAGACATGCCCAAACATTTCATCTTGCCCAGGAATTGACATTGGGACCATTTGGTTGTTTAGCAATTGTGCTGACAACTGCATTACAAGTCACCAATAACAAAATAAAATAAATATTATAGACAGGATGAGCACCAATTCATGTACAGGCAGACAAGAGAAGAGAAGGGCAGCAAATTTTTACATGCCTGTCAAAGAGCAAAACAGAAACTACAAAAAAAAATAAAGAGAACCCCAAGAGCCAGGTACCAATCACGAATCGAATCTGGTAGTGGGATCCACTGACCCTATTATGGTGATGGTAGTGATACCTGGAAGGATTAGTGTAGCTTGCATCTCCTAACAGTAGCTTGCAGTGTATGAAAATTCTTGAAATCTACCAAGATTGACAGTCTTGGTATTTCAAATTTTCCCTTGGAGGGAGATTGTTAACAGTGATTTTACACACAAACAAAATACATCAAGATTAGAAATATAAAAATTATTCAGAAAAGCTTCTAACCTGATACAAATGAGAATAGCACTGGACAAGTGCTGGGTAGTTGCGTCGTGCCTCATATATGGGAATGAGGATACGGTAAAGATTACCAAGCAGTTCATATCGCTCTGCTCGTTCAACCATTCCACCAGCTAACTCCAGTTGATTGATTAATGAGTCCATTGTAAACACAGTGTCCACTAAACCTGGAAAATTTAATGTAAATTTTAATTTATCATTATGTACCTGATTAAGCCATGTTAGCATAGAAAGTTATTGCTTTTAAAATTTATAGCAAAACTGAATGCTGTACAAACATATCTAAAACATTACTGAATATCAATAGATGAATCTTGCCTATTAACAAAACATTAACAAATCAAATGTTTAACGTAATGAAATGCCCTTTTCTGGTGAGTCACTCGGCAGCTCACTGAGGTACTGCACTGGGGCTGCCAAGCCTTAGGGAACTGTACTAAGCTGCTAAGATCCACTTGTTGCCTACTGGGAGCTAGCACCCTTTAAACAGGGTAAGTAGCCAACAACACGTTGGACATCCAGGAATTCCAAGCCCAGATATTCACCGAGAATATATTGGCAAAGAAAGCGAACAAAGTAGAAAATTTCTGCAGATGGGTCAGTCAGGTGAAAAGTCTGGGAGTCAGGTATAAAACATATGGTCTGAAGAGGTACAAAAGAGGTACCCCACTCTGAACACCAAGTTGATGAGAATGTGTCAATATGCATTCCATAAATCCAGGGAAAATGAATCAAGAATTACTGTTGGAGACCAGCACACCAAATCACACATTAGAAAATACGTGAAATGTGAAGATGTGAAACCACTTCAGGCCAAGAGATAGACAAAGTAAAGCCTGCCTGTAAAGCACCAAGGAGAGAACTGGCCACCTAGCTGTCAATGGACAAGCAGGAAGATCAGGTGCATGGTAAGTGTCTCATCAGTGCAGATACAGACCCCTGATCTTATAGCTACTCAGTGAGGGGAAGGCAAAAGTCATGCAAGATAAATGCCTAAATACCTCATGCAACCTAAATGCACCCTTTGTCAGTGCCAGACAAAACACCTCAAAAAGTGAACAAGATGCAAAAGGTACTGAAAATTGCCAGAGATCAGCACTTTCCATCAAAAATAGTTTCAAAGGGGCAAAAGCCCATGAACCACCAAGAAGCAATATACCTTGAAAAGAGGTTGCCGAATCACAACTAGACAATAACCTCGAGGGGGAAATACAAACCAATCACTACACATGATAACCTTTGCCAAAGAGGTAAAGCGAACTGTAAACACAGGGCACTTGCAAGGTGAATGGCACTGAGCACACACATGAAGCAAAATATGGAACTAATATCAAGAATGAAACATTTATTTTAGGGATAACCAATACCACTTATCTTATAGCTAGAGGATGACAGTGGGCAAAGCAAAGAAGAGTGCCTCTGGTCGCAAACTGGCTCATGAATAGGCTAGCTGGCTGGCAACAATTTTGCCATGGTAACAATCCTTTGCATTGTTTTTATCAAGGTTACAAATTTTTCTTATTGATTGCTTATTTTGAAGCATTTTGGCTTTCAGGTTAGTAATTTTCTTAGTTTTGTGGCACTGATCCCCAGGCTCCCTTTTGCCTCTTTGAGCAAGCCAGAATCTGGCCCTGGTCCCCAGTAGGGTTGACTGCTTCCAGGTTGTAGCATCAGGGTGCTATGAGTAGGCCCTCAGAAAGAGGCATTTCATTACATTCAGTGCTGTATTTTTCTGGGATTTGGGTTAATCTCCGAACCCCAAGTTTCCCCTCACCTCAAAGAGAGTGCCAGATTCTGGTCCAGGCTCTCAGGTCTCAAGAGGCATGGTATGCTTCTCTAAGGCCTGGCAATCCTAATGCCATACTTACAAGGAACTACTGAGTGGGCCCACCCAAAAACTATACATATATAGTATTTGTTTTAACAGCCTCTAATCAGAAGAAAATTAATGATCGTCTAAATATGTATAGAAGACAGGCAAGCAACCCTATGAATTCAACCCAAGCTCTGGGCAGAGGGAATACAATCACAAGTGCCATTTAAATCCTCACATAATTATGAATACAGTACTAGTATATAAGCAAAATTTATTATGCAAATTTATTTGTCTTTTCACAGCACAGAGCAAGGGGTCAAAGTTCTCTGTAACATATGTTACTGCAAGGCGAAAGAAATCAAATTTCCAATCAAATTATCATAGCGGAATCTATCTCAGACTCTAAGTTCGAAGTGCGATGATTTAGACAGCCATTAAAAGCTTAATGCAAATAAGTACAAAGCCTGATAATACTTTCACCAAACATAACAGACTGAAAAATTACTGGTTATCATAGTTGGTGAAGGGAGATTGTAGGGAATTTAGCTCAAGCCATCATGGAGAGACAGCCCAACTATTACAGTACAGTAAACAAAAAAAAATGTCATTACACTGAATGTGATAAAATATTCCTTTTTTTGGGGTGGAGACCCCTAGTTAATTGTCTGGTACCACCTAGTTTTTGAGACCTGTCTGTCCTACTGGAAACCGGAATCAGCATCTGATTTCCCCTGCGAGGTTAGAAGAGCAGTGCTTGCCATTGGCTGGTTTTCATTTCTGGGAGCAAGTGTGTTGGCCCAGAACTACCTCCTGTAGGCTGCCTTTTGAAACCCCAACTCCTGTTTCTGATGTACCTGTAGTTCATGCTCTGCTATTGGGTATTCATCAGTCTCATGAGGCTCCTCTCTCTATGTGTAACTGCTCTTAACTCTTCACTATGCTTGGGTAAGTCCCTGTTACTTTTTGTTTTATTAAATAAATGTACATGTATTTGTCTTCTGTTAAAAATGGCTCAATAGAGCAATTGAGGGCCAATAGCTCACAAATAAGGCATTAAATTAAATGTTTTTTTTAGCCAGTTAGATTGTTACTTCCATAATTTCTATTCTTCTCTTCTTTTTCAAGCATGTTTGGGAGGCAACAAGTGAGGCTACTGGCTCAGCAGCCTTATGGTGGTGGGATTGCCATCTAGTGGCCACTAACTACCAATAGTAGCCGATTGCCCAGCTGGTAGTTAAAATGAGCTACCAACTAGGTCTGACTATCCTAAGGTTAGTTTATTATAATACTGAGTGGGTCTCAGATTGGTGGCCTATGATGGATTTGTCTTGTCTTCCTTCCCCAACTACACGACCAGATTATTAGAAAAGTTATTGGTAGGCAAAATGAGTCTCACAAACAAAAATAAACCACTGGTTCAAGAAAGCAATGAGAAAATGGCTAAGAAAAAAGCATTTCCTTTCACTTCTTGCTCTACTTTTCAAGGTTTTTTTGATTATAGGGTTAAGTATATCAATCTTGATACTGAACTGCCCTTTCAGTGACTGCTCTTTTCCCAGTTTGTTTTATTTGCATTTTCTATCTTTTTCTGCATATTTTCTATTTTTACACTCGCATACTGCTAATAAAATTAATGCAGATGTTAGAAAATTAGAATCTTTCAAATAAATATTCTCTATAGCCATTGGAACTCATCACTTAAAATCAGTTAAGTTTCCAAGTACACACACCTAAACTAATCTTGAATTAGAATATATATATTTGAGCCTTTCATACACAGCATATAAAAAGCCAATAAAAATAAGACTTTGCATTAATATGAAAAGCACCCTTCTGAGCAGGTGTACTGTACTTGGTTGCATCTTAAGGTAAAGATCCACTATATTGTATGACCAGGATCAATCTCTATATGACAGTGAACAATCTCCTATGCTTACGTATTTAATGCATTGCATGTACTGTACATGCTTGCAAGTAAGTCTTCTTTGTGTTTCTGACACAGTACACCTCTGATTACCCAGATTAATCATTACTTCGAGATGTAAGGTAAATTTAAAATCTGGTTTAATTGAAGTTGGGACTAGATAAAGATCGTGACGAGGCACTTTGAGCCATCCTTTCACACCAACAGCATTCTTTAGGAAGTGTCACCTGTGAGGCCAAGGGAGAATGAGTTTAATTGATTTTTTCTACAGTGGCTCTACACCACTTTTATTATCAATGCAAAGGACATATTTAAGTACTCTGTGATGCCGGTGACATATTGCCCTGCCTCACTGCACAAGATCTTGTTCATATAATGCAGCAGATCCTTACCTTAGAGAGCATATGAATGTGATAACTTAGAATGTATAATAAATTACATTTTAGTCAATAATTGCTCTATAAAATTATTATATAAAATTTATGTTTGCTAGATCTAAAGACAACAAAATGTCATGCATCACTTTAGACAAACCACTCAAAACAAAAGCAGCAATGCATTCTATGAAGCCCAACTCTGATCAAAGCACTCTTGGATACCTACCGGTGTGTAAGCGAAGAGTCTGCGAGCTGCATGCAACGTCTAACAGGAACGCCACAGAAGACACGGCAAGCAGAGGATGAGTAATGGCCAAGGTAAAAGCATCAGGCTTACAAACTTTACTTCTAAGAAGGGTTATGGTATTTTCTCCTGTTTTTATTTAATTTTTTTGAATGAACTAACAATTTTTAAGGATGTGAATATTCAAAATACAATCTAGTTAACTAACTTAATTGAATTAAGAGTACTACTGATGCTTGTGCTCTTAACTAATGGTGAATGAAGGATCTAAAATACTATGGAAAACCCAAAACTCAAGAATAAGATTGTAATTACTGTGCACTTGAAAATCTGAGATTTCTGTCCTTTAAGGTCTCTTTAAATTGTCATGATGATTTTTAATCACCAACTAATCAAATCTGCTATCTACAGAAAACAAAATACAGCACTGTATATAAACAGTACCACTCTTAAATTCCCTTCATAGACTATAGGTATTAAAAAGACTGAAGAAAGGAGCAATTTATGAAAGAAATGACAATGTAGCTTTTCACTCTTGTAAAACTCCCTAATAGATGGCATGGCTTAACTGGACTCAGATCTTGGTCAGATACACAAATAAATAAAAGAATGCAAACAACATTGATAAACATTTTTACTGCAATGTATTTATTTTTAAGTTTAGAGAAATTGCAATAAAGTACACATCTTACTCTCAAGAGATGGATTGATCCTCTGATATAAGCTAAGAAATGCTTGTCAGATGTACCATGTGCATTTACAACAAAAATAAAAAAGCAGAACTGTGTTTTCCTTCAAAATGCCTGGACAAAGCTACCAAGCCTCGAAATCACATGGAAGGGCAGGAACAAAACTTTGTGGTCCTTGCAGAGAGGTGTATCCCTGATGACACTAGGTAAGCGAGTGTAGTGGCCAGTTCAGATAGTCACTGGAGAAATGATAATTTCAAACTGGAAAAATGACTGTTAGAGGGCTCTCCTAAAAATTCTAAGCGCTTCCAAGCCCTAGCTTGTAATCACACAAACTGTAAGAGGGACTGATTGGATAATTTCCTGATTGCCACTATAGGAAAGAATCCTGCTCACCCCACAGTTCCTTCAAAGAATCCTGATTTAAATTTTTTAAAATGTTCTTATATTTACCAGCATCCCATATGCTGCTGATATTATCCTGTTTGTGAGAAAAATCCTGTGTTAGTGGTGGAATTACATCTACCCCCAAATCTTTCTTACTGGTGTTGCATGGGATTCAGCAATGTTTGTAATGAGGGGTTCTCGCATATTCTCAGTGACCCACCCAGTCATACACGAGTAGTCGGTTAGCCAGCCAGATAGCCTGCCAGATAGCCTACCAGTTAGCTAGCTAACCAGATTGCCAGCCAGTTAACCAGCCAGCAAGACAGTCATCCAGCCTGCACACTATCCAGCTGAAGATAGACAGGAGGGAGTTTTTGCATTGCAATTGCAACTTGGTGGGTGATTGGCGGAGGAGGGTATTCAAACGGAATGTAAAAGGTGTATCCCCCTACACTTCCTGGTGATGACCAAGATCTAATAAAGCAAGCTGTTGGCTTGCCCTTGATAGTCTAACCTGCCACATGCATCCCCTATGATCCGATGGCATGTCTACCCGTATACCTGCTTACTTTTGTGATTACCTGCTAACCTGTCTGCATGCCTCTTACCTACCAACTTGTCTGCATGTCAGCCTACTTGCGAGCTTCCCTGCAAACCTGCTTGCATGCCTGCTGACTTGCATGTACGCTAACCTGTGCAACTACTGGCATATCAACCTGCCTACCAGCTTGCTTGCTTACATGTCTACCTGCCTGCCCGCCTGCTTGCATGCCTACCTGCCAACCTGCTTGTATGCCTGTCTTCCTGACTTGTTTGTTTATGTAGTTTGTTTCTTGTGATGCATTTAAGAACATAAAGAGTACATGAACAGAAATGAACTATAGTGCGATGAATGTTATTTGGAAGAAACTATTGAATGTGTGTGAAAAAAAATTCTGGATTCATAAACATAGAGCAATTAATCAAACCTCTAATACCTATGCAATGAATCACTGCAAGCTGAAACAATTAACATAAGCAGAGGTCATTACTGTTTATTTAATACCCATGTATTATTTAGAGAATGTTGGAATTTGTTATATTTGGGAGGGGAGGGAGATCTCAAACCTACCCTATTTCCCTATATGTAGTGAAGATCAGCTAGAACAGATTCAGATTCACTAGACACATGGTTCACCAGGAACACAAGACCTGCATTTCTCAAGGACCTATGGTACGGTACCCTCAACACTATTTTTGTTAGTCGAAATATGAAATAACACATTTTTGTTTCACATGATGAAGCACAGATACAAGATATCTTCTAAGTGTATCAGACATCATCTAAGTTAGTTTAGCTTGGAGAAATGTGAAAAAAATGTCTAATAATCCAGAGTAGGGATTAAAGAGAGCAAAAGATAATATGAAAGTAAAATGTGCAATATTACAAAAAATAAACAAAAACATATCCAACAAAATAAATTACTAAACAGTGCAATATAAAAGTTCCAGCTACAGATAAATTATGAACCTGGTCTAGTGTGCAAAATATTAGAATAAATTCTAATAGAAAACAAACTAATGCAGAAATGTTAAGCTCATTATCACAAACTCAAAACCTCCAGAATAAATTCTTAAATGACACCTTACCAGCATCCAACCTTAAGTTAGACTCATCTCTTGGAATGTTGTCTGATATGATAGAGAAGACCTGGCAACCCTCGGGAAATTCTCCTTGATGACGCAAATACTCGGCCATGAGGGCTGCAATATGCAGTTGGCAAAATGCAGCCTGTGAAAAAGGTGTAAGAAACTATGTATTTGTATGAAATATATTTGCATAGTAAGCAGTCATGAAATGATAGCAAGTTTTTTTCATGGTCAAGGACAATTCTGCTACATGCATATTTGGCTTTCATATTCATATTAGCATCACTGATGATAAAACCAGACAATAATAGCTGAAATCAACATATGGTGATAAGGGCATAGGGCATTACACCAGGAATCAATGTATGATGATAACTACATTTTAAGGATTAAACAAATGATAATTTTAGCAAAATATATTCTAATCTTAACAAAATGGCAAAACAGCTAACCTCTGAGAGATCTCCATTCTTGACATGATGCTTGGCCATTGCTTGAAGCCAGGTGGTGCGCAATTCAGGAGTTGCAGCATATGAGGCAGCTAGAGAATGCTGCAGATCGCACAACATCTCTGGGTCACGTTCATGCTCCCTCATCTGAGCAGTAGCGACCAACACTGTTCGAATCCTCTTTGTCAAGTCCCGCACTTCACTAACAAATCCTGAATAGATATGAAAATTTAGACGTTTATACATTTGAAAACAGAAGCAAGCAAAATACTAAAGCTAAATTAATAATAAAGTAGGCATAAATGCCTTGTATACTATTCTTGAAACACAAAGTTATTTTTAACTATGAAAACAAGCATTGCCTGAAACATCTTTTATGTCAACTACCAAATATTTATTTCAATGTACTATATATACACATAAATAAATATTAATTATAATTTCACCTGTATTATTCATTGCCTTGTCACTAGAAGAATAACTATTGATGAGAGCCATGGACTCTTGGAACCGCGAATAATTCAAGCCAATTATTTCCCCAAGAAGCTGTGACACGGAGATGATTACCTGAAAAAGGCGGCAACACAAAATATGTTTTTTTTTTTTTTTTTTTGAGACATATACAAGAGTTGTTACATTCTTGTACAGCCACTAGTACGCGTAGCGTTTCGGGCAAGTCCTTAATCCTATGGTCCCTAGAATACGATCCCCTGCCGCGAAGAATCGTTTTTTCATCCAAGTACACATTTTACTGTTGCGTTAAACAGAGGCTACAGTTAAGGAATTGTGCCCAGTAAATCCTCCCCGGCCAGGATACGAACCCATGACATAGCGCTCGCGGAACGCCAGGCGAGTGTCTTACCACTACACCACGGAGACTGCAATTTACCAGTAACATCTCCACGGAGATGTTACTGGTATTGGAACTAACAATTTCCTATTAAAAAAACACAAGCTAGAAATGACATTTCTGATGCCAGTGAACTGTTTGAGTGATTTACATGTACTGTCTCTGTATGCATGTCTGCAATACTGTATATATATATATACAGAATGTTTCAAATTGTGTGGGGGAATTCAAACAAAAATCAAGCATTGAATAAAAATGAAATGCATTCTTCATGAACTACTAAGGAGACCCTCCTGAAGGAAAGCCTTTGAAGCAACTGTAATGTTTAAAAGACATTTTGAATGAGGTCATCACTTTTCTTAAAGAGGGTGGTGAATAAAAGTGGTGGTGAATAAAGTGGTGAATAAGTGGTGAATAAAACATCAAACATATTCTTTGTATAACTTACTGCTTATTAGAAATTGCAGTGCATATCCATCAAATATATTGTAATTCAGGTTTACACATAAGATTATCCAGTACTTAAAAAAAAAAAAGCATTGAATGTAATGAAACGCCATTTTCTTGGCGAGACCCAAAGGTTCCCTGGAGCTTATCCAGGTTGATATGCTAATGTCCGACTTTGGCATCAGTCATGTGTATGAAGTTCTGTGGGCCTACCGGAGACCACAAGCCTGAACTTGGCCCCCTCAGAGAGGCATGGGGAGCAATGGCCAATAGAAACCCTCGTATGGTTAGAAGAATTCTATGTCTGCCATTGACTGGATCAGGCACCCAGAAAGTTAAGCATCCGAAAACAAACCCCTATTCTGGTAAAATTTGCTACTAAAAGCCAAACAAGTCAACAGAACTCCCCAAAAAGAAACGAGCAAACGAGTATGATGTCACACGTCGCCGTGCAGCTCCCCCCTCCCCGGGAGGGTGAAGGGGGGAGACTCCCCAGACCCCTCGCACTGGGTATCCATCCATCAGTTCTGAGGCTGGATGACAAAACACACGTTAAAACTGCCGACCGAGGGGAGGAAGGGATGCTGGGAAGTCTCCGGATCTCACCCAGAAAATGGACTTTCATTACATTCAACGCTGGTTTTCTGGGGGGAGCCCCTTCGATTCCATGGAGCTAACTACCTACAGAGGAAATAAGAGAGGGACTTACCCAGGGGTTTCAATAGGCCATTGCTCCCCCATGCCTCTCTGAGGAGGCCGGGTTCTGGCTTGTGGTCCCCAGTAGGCCCACAGAGCTCCATACACATGACTGATGCCAAAGTCTGACATTAGCATATCAGGCTGGATAAGCTATGGGGAGCTGAAGGGGCTCACCCCAGAAAGACATTTGTTACTCAGGTGTTACATTATACCAGATCAAATACGAGTTTAACCAGATTTTAAATGGCAATGGTCAAGTTACATTTTTTTCCTATTACAGGTCTCAACTTCTAGGTTTCAGGATGGACAGATGATAAACATTCCTGCTTTTAATAACTAATTAATCAGACCTGCGGCCCTTGTACCTGCAAATGTACTCGGTTGATGCCTGTTCGTCGAGTGAATTCGTAGTTACTCCTCATTAGCAGGTAAAGTACGGCACAAGCTTCGTGACGTAGATTGGTCAGCTTACTGTTGCAGCACTTCAACATCTCGAAGCAGAGAGACCCACACAGTGAAGCATCGCCTGACATTAAGTGAGGAGGGTTATGTGTTGGAGGAATTAGCATACAAGATGAATTAAAAACTTATGGGAAATAACAGTTAGCAAAGTTCCTAACAGAGACAAGACAGAATAAATAAGCAGAGCAGTAATCTGGAAGAATTGCAACTAACAAAATGAATCTTCAGATAAAGGCAGCAAAATCTAGAAAAACAAATCAGCCAAGTGCAAAAATGCTTTAACAAATATGCAAGCCTGCTAAACATAAATTACAGTATTTTCTTCATTAGTGATAATAAATAATCTTAATTATTCTGAGTGAACATAGGCAAGGCTGGTAAGATTAGGAACATTTTGAACAGTAAGCAAGCTTCTGAAGTAGAGCTGGAGCAATTTAAACTCCTTTTCTACATTCATAACTTCATAACAAGTTCAGAGATAAATCAGTCCAGTCATTTATTTGATATTAAATTTTCCCAATAACATATTATCACCATAGCTTGCAAAATTTATTAAAAGAATATATGTATATATAATGCCACAGTTCCCACTATTAAATGATAACAATCTACTTCTGAACTTGTCAATAGATGATACAGTAAGATGATATTGTTTAATTGCATGACATTAAAAATTATGCATATGCCATCATCATACCTTGAAAGAGGGTCCGTGGGAAATTATTTATGAATGCCCTGAGAGAGGCAAACACATGCTTCATAAGACTCTCTGACTGTCCAAGTTGCAGATAAAGTAGATGCAATGAAAAAACTTGTTGCATAATAGTCTCGGCCCCATCAGATGTAAGGATGTCACTGCAGTGGGTGGTAAAGTTACCAAGGGCATCAAGTACAATGAGACCAACTTCTGTGGCCAGATTGGCCTCCTGTAGAGCCTTCAGCCAGCCTTCTCCCTCATGGCTACTGACTGGGGAGAGTAATATAGCTTTGTTATAGAGATGAGAAACCTAACACGCTTATTTCTAGGGGGACAGAACAGCATATGAGAAACATTAAAGCTTATCTAAACTGCACTTTCCTTGAGAACATTAACGATAATAAAATATTAGTATCGTGTTGCCACAGGCATGATGCATCTTAACTTAATGCATAACAAAATAATTAAGATAATTTATATTTAATTTTTACAAGCCTGAAAATACTTTGTCAGTCTTAGCAAACTTAAAATAATTAGTTAAACAGTAGGCTTCAAATATAATGCATTATTATTTTATGTGTTTCACTTCATTATATCAAAATAAAACGAAATTTATATGAGAAACTAACAAAAAGCAGATTAAAAAAGTACGTACATACTGCAAGGTGAGCCCTTTTTATGTGCAAGGGATGCATTTCGAGCAATAATCAACACATGCAGATTCGTAAATATTGACCTTAAGGATATAAATTATGACAAAAAGACGGATACAATCTTGACCTTATAGCAGCTGCCTCGTATGGGCCAATAGGAGCTGCCTCGTATGGGCCAATAGGAGCTGCCGCGTATGGGCCAATAGCAGCTGCCTCGTATGGGCCAATAGCAGCTGCCGCGTATGGGCCAATAGCAGCTGCCTCGTATGGGCCAATAGCAGCTGCCTCGTATGAGCCAATAGCAGCTGCCTCGTATGGGCCAATAGCAGCTGCCGCGTATGGGCCAATAGCAGCTGCCGCGTATGGGCCAATAGCAGCTGCCGCGTATGGGCCAATAGCAGCTGCCGTGTATGGGCCAATAGCAGCTGCCGCGTATGGGCCAATAGCAGCTGCCTCGTATGGGCCAATAGCAGCTGCCTCGTATGGGCCATGAACACATTCAGAACACCTTGAGTGAGAGCAGCCACACCCAGCCAGTCTCCCTCACTCCAACATCTTACTCGCCAACATTGCTCCTCCCACCATATTGCTATAGTTCTTATTACACATGTTCTATATACCTATCTACATGTTTTATTTACCAGAACTATGCAAGTAATCCGGTATTGTGTCCAAACAGTACAGTGGCCACCATACACTGCATGAAAAATCACACAGCAGACGACGCTACGATTACGTCACCTCCCTCACCAAAATAGCTCCTCTCAACATTCTCCTGTTGCTGTTCTTACACTATATACCCACACTATATATACCCATGTACATATGTGTTGCCCATAGCGAACCACTAAGCTAGTATGGTGAGCAAAACAAGAGTGGCAGCCACACACACAATTGAGGCTACCTCAATTCTCGCCCTCCCTCCCTCATCAAAATTCCTCCTTCCACAATACTACGCACAACGCTAATTATAACCACATTCCTGTTATTATCACAATCCTGGTCACTAATTCCTGTAAATGAATAATTGACCACACGTTTATTTTGAAAAAGAACCTAAGAAATCATTTGAAGATTCCTAGATGAACGAAATAATGCTCTGGTGCTGTGGCTAGCGCTGTGAACATCGTTTAAACATCACTTATTTTCCGTTACTTTTTATAAATATCTATCTAAATCAAGTGTTGAATGTAATGAAACATCCTTTTCCGGTGGGTCATTAAGCAGGTTCCATAACAACTGCTGGGCACAACACTATAGGAGGATTTAAAGTAGGACCCGCCACTGAAACAGGACGAGAAGCAAAACCATGAAACTTGCTGCAGAGTGGAACTGAACCAGTAACCAGCGACTTAGAAATGCACCTGTGGAAAAGCAGAGGAGGTAGGTAGCTCATACTGAGATAGGAGAGGAAAAAAACATGTCAGTAGAAAGAAACACCCAAACAATGCACTAAAGACCACATAGGATCAAAGGGCAACTGATAGCTCTCCTCCAGAAACCCCCAAAATCCAGAACTGAGCCTTCCCCTCCTCATAGAAGAAATAAACTTGAATTGAACAACCCCTACTCTCATTACCTCCATAAAGAATGCAGGTTTCAGATAAAGTACGTACATTCTCTCTAGCACCTTGTGAACATAAAGTAAAATACTAATCAGTAACCCTTCCCAGAAAAGGGGCCTCCTGAGGAAGAATAGCAAGACTGTGCCACCTCCAGCAAAGCCTTGGATGGAGTGACTTCCTAAGGCACTCCTGCTAGCTAGCCTATGTCTAATGCCTGCAGACAACTTGTAGGAGACTGAACAAATGGAGGCTAAAAAGCAGAATGAAACAGACAGCCAAAGGAGAAGAGACCAAGGCAAATTACGCATTGATGCTCAAAACAAAAACATGCCACATCATTTCCATAAAACAATTGGAGAGTGGTAGCTACACCATTCAATTTTCCAGGGGCTGCATAAGCTAGAACCTCGAAGCACAATCCTGTTAGGTCATTGGCCAAAAGGATGGCTCAGCCAATACAAAAATCCTGAGCCCAACAGAAGTGAAGGAAGCAGTAAGAGTAACCAAAGGGTTGCTCAGTGATGGACTGAGATAGACTTTCCAATGTCTCCCTGTCATAACATGAAAAAGACCATTTACAAATTAACTTGCCACTGTGGGAAAAAGATAGACTAGAATGTGGCATGTGAATGGTGTCTAGGATAGAACCAACCACTGGTTAAGGATGCAACCAAGAAACCTAGATTAGGAGAAAATAATTAACAGACTAGAATAATTAGCAATAAAATTTAAATGTAACCACTTACACTTACATGTAATTTTACACTTACCACTGTAACTATCAGTTGCTGTAGATAATCTACTACAAGAGAAAGGAGGCTGTAATTTTGCTGGGAGAGTTGATGCTCTCTTTGGCCCTTGTTCCCTCACTATCTGTCTCTTGCCACTGTATTTGAAGTGATGTAAACACAACCTGCATTCAACATGAAGGATAATATAAAGTAAAAACTATTTAAATTTAAACACAATATAGAACTAAGACACACAAGCAAAACACAAAAGAAGCTTCTGTTAACATGTGAACCACATTTATTAGTTTCTAGCTAACTTTGACAAAAAATTCTCACATGAGTTGCCATAAGTAGTACTGGACAATAATGACAATTTTTACAGAAAAATAGAATTCAAAATATCTTAACATTTTTACGACCCACATTTTCACTGTAGCCACTGATTGAGGTATCCTTGGCCCCTGTGCCAGGCACATCTCATAATAAAAACAATTCCTCCGATTATTCTTCACACAAAAATACCATCTCTTCCCCTCTGTTCACATACCATACTATCTTCAGATATCCAACCCATGGTATGTGCATACCATCCTCAGATTTTTTTATCCTCGGATTTTTTAAGTCCTGCGGGTGTACAGGGTTCTCAATCGGCGTCTAAGGCCTCCAGTAAACATCTGCCATCAAACAAAAATAGAGGAAAGCCTACTGAAGCCTCAGGCAGCTAGTTTGAAGTACAGTATGGGGCTCTAGCTCCCAAACCGATATTGCTGCTTTTTCTTTGTGTAAACAGATAATGCCTTGTGTAACTCGTGCAGTTCAGGGGGTTAACGGCTGGATGGTGAAAGCTCAGGAAGGTCCCATGGAATGGATCAAGAGGGTGGGACAATTTGAGCTGCTTGGTTTTCAAATGCTAATCTTACAATCATGGTTGGTGCCTGTGCACTGAAAATAAGGCTCTCAGATATTCAGAGTGGAAGTACTGAAACCCAGGGCAAAACATACCTGCTCTTCCATATCTCGAGCAAATTGGAATACTACATCGCCTTTACATGATGAAAAACTTACAAGGCAGAACTTACTGGAGAAGAGTAAAGAAGTGGCCCAGCGCTTCATTACCGAGCGTCGCCCACCAAGACACCAAATGTGGCTCAGGAACGTGCTTAAGCGTATGCAGGAAACATAGGAGGAGATCACGTACTTCTCCAGGGCACAGCTTGTCGTATCTTACAGGTCCACTTTCTCCAGCAAATGCCACACTTAAATTTCTAAGATAAATAATTATTCAAATAAATTTTTATGATTTACTCAACTTATTAATTCATAAACATGAAAAACAATATACCAAAATGCTTCCTAATATAAACAGTTAAATTACAGCTTTGTTTAAAAAAGTCACTAAGTAAAGATAAAAGCTATGATATGTTCAACTTAATAGTGGATAAACTTACAAACCTTGAACTCTAGATCTGTGAATTATGTTCTTATATATGTTGTTCTTTCTTATTTAAATAAAGTAAAACAGCCAGTAAAACATTACTTTATTGGTCTTGGAGCCTTAAAATCTACAGACAGCTCTCTTAACTATTCACATACTAGTAATTATTAATTGGAGTGTACATTCTACTTCAAATCACAAAACAAATAGATGTGGGGTGTTAGACTTGGCATCTTACCCATGGGATTGAGGTTGCACCTATTTCGGTGCAGTAACAGTACCGAGAGTCAAGAGAGTCGACAGTATCGTACAAATTTGCTTTATGATCTACTGTGGTGTTTTATATGTGACTTATTCGTGGGTAGTTTTCAGAGTTCTTGTACACCTGCAGCCTGACTCATGATTGGTAAGGATATCTTCTCGAGATGATTTCGGGGCTTAGCGTCCTCGCGGCCAGGTCCTCCTTTTGTTACACACTCCCACGAAGCAGCCCGTAGCAGCTATCTAACTCCCAGGTACCTATTTACTGCTAGGTGAACAGGTGCATCAGGATGAAAGAAATGTTTCCCATTTGTTTCCACCTCCACCAAGGATCGAATCCGGAACCTCAGGACTACAAATCCGAAGCGCTATCCACTCAGTTTGAGTGGACAGTCGATTGAGTCCACCCAATTCTGAGGCTACTGCTTCCAGAACTGAAGTGGGCTGCTTAGGCAGTCCATACACTTCAAAGTTGTATTAAGATTTCTTGGGATGTTAGCTTTCACAGTGTACCATAGGATTTAGCCTGCACCTGTTTCAGAGTTGTTCCAACAATTTGTTCACTACACATTTGCTTTTCTGGGGTGTCGACATTTCTGCTTCTGCCAGGATTGACTCCACTTTTGGTCCTGGAACATGTATTAAGTTTTTCTTAATATGTCAAGTTACTTTGTAACCTGCTCTTCTAAGGGGTGCAAATATGTTTCTTGCCATGGGATTGAGACTCCACCATTTTTATTCCACCTCTAGAATCACTTGCTTTCTTCTCTTGTAACCAACCAACTTCTCTGGGATGTTAGACTTTCAGCTTTTCCCAGGATAGATCGTCTGCCGATTCTGGCTAGGCTATGATGTTGCATCTGCAAGTCTTGAGCTACAGCTTCTTAGACTACACTCTAACAGTTTTAAGTTTTGCCCTAGGTTTTCAGGTTTCTCTGGTGTCTGCTCTCCTGGGAAGTTTCTGTCGGTGTCTGATCCAGGGTGCTGAGCTTTTATATCTTTCCACCGATTATCAGTACTGTGGGTACTTGCTTTGGTGTAAATTCCCTACATTTTGTATCCTGTTCTACTAGGGTGTTTGCCTTAGAACTTGGCTCACTATGGAACCAATTCTCATTCAGATCGGTTACAACACTACACCTGCACTGTTTCATTCTGGGATTCTTCTTCAGACTTTGCTGCAGGAAAGAGGTACAGAGTCCTGTTCATGATTGTTACAGACAGTCCATGATTTTTCAGTATTGGATAAAACAGCTTAAAAGTTATGTGAGGAAACGCATATCTATTTAGTTAACATATTAATGGCAACATATCAGGCTACTAGACACACAAAATTTTTCTTTTTAATGAACTTTTTGTGTTATATTTATGCATCAATGCACATCCTAGGTATTCTGGACATAATGATGTGCTTACTTTTTGGTGCTGGTGGGTCTATCAGCAGCACTGACAGATAAGGCTGCTTGGTTATTTCATTATCCCTTATTGGGTTTCAGTGGCTATCACTTCCTTCTTAATTGGAGGAGTTCTTATACTCCCTGGCATGCAGCTGATGAGTTACAATAATGTGGCTGAAGATATGATAACCAAATAACAAAAAAAAATTAGAAACAACGACGTTTCAGTCCCAGCCTAGGCCATTATCAAGTCGAGTAATGGCATATTGGACTTGTACAAAAAGTGATCTGGTGTCTGGTATGACTGTTTTCCTGCCATGATCTGCTCACATGCCATTTGCATCAGATGTTGGTGACTCAAGAGGATCTGCCTGTATTTCTCTGTTTTTGTAAAAGTTGCAGCAATCTTTTATGGTTGAGGAATCCTCATGCCCCTAGGAACTTTTGTGGCATCAGGCAACCATCTCCAATGTGATTATGCTTCAATGAGGGTAGTTACAGCAGTTTTGGGATAACAACTTAGACAGGGTTAAATGGATTAGTCCAACACATTGTTTTTCTCTGAACCCAAGTTCATACACAAAAGTCAAAGACGTGTCTATGTTTTGTGGGTCTCTCTGCATTTTATTAATATAAGAAAATTTAAATGGAGCTGAGGATGGATTAGCAAATAAGGAAAACAGTAGAAAGAATATGAGTTATGCACAAAACGTACCTTGAATGACTTCTTCCCTCTTCAGCAATGTCATCCTCCAATTCCTCTTCAAGTAGGTCCGAATTTGCTACAGATGGCACTTGATCCTCTGATTCAAGGCTGGAGCTAGACCTGCCATTGACTAGATTAGCTTGATTAGTCATTACTCCACCTGGTCCAGCAATTAGTGCCAGGTATGAGGAATCCCCTCGAGCAGTAAGAAATGAGGGATCACGACTAGAGCCTTTACGAGAGGGTGTACTATAGGTGCTCATGTCAATACTTCCTCCCCCTGATCTGTTAAAGAACAATGTTATGGAAATGAGATATAAAATAACTTCACACTACATTGAAGCCTAGAAAACCACCCCTTTTATCAGAGTAGCAAATTATGTGATAGCATAACATGGCAGCTCAAACAAGAATATTAAAAACAAAAAGATAAGCAATTCTGAGGTGGAGGATAAAAGTGGATTACACTCCCAAGGTGTAAATATATGACCAACCATATCACATTAATCCAAAACTGCCAGAGAAATGTAAACAAATTATGGCTGGCATTATATTCCTGTAGAAGCATATGGTATATATATGCATACAGTACATGTGAGAATGTGTGAGTGCATGTTCTATTATATGTATGATGTATGTATATGTATGTATGTATGTATGTGTGTGTGTGTGTGTGTGTGTGTGTGTGTGTGTGTGTGTGTGTGTGTGTGTGTGTGTGTGTGTGTGTGTGTGTGTGTATATATATATATATATATATATATATATATATATATATATATATATATATATATATATATATATATATATATATATATATATATATATATATATATATATATATATATATATATATATATATGTCGTACCTAGTAGCCAGAACGCACTTCTCAGCCTACTATGCAAGGCCCGATTTGCCTAATAAGCCAAGTTTTCCTGAATTAATATATTTTCTCTAATTTTTTTCTTATGAAATGATAAAGCTACCCATTTCATTATGTATGAGGTCAATTTTTTTTTATTGGAGTTAAAATTAACATAGATATATGACCGAACCTAACCAACCCTACCTAACCTAACCTAACCAATCTTTATAAGTTAGGTTAGGTTAGGTAGCTGAAAAAGTTAGGTTAGGTTAGGTTAGGTAGGTTAGGTAGTCGAAAAACAATTAATTCATGAAAACTTGGCTTATTAGGCAAATCAGGCCTTGCATAGTAGGCTGAGAAGTGCGTTCTGGCTACTAGGTACGACATATATATATATATATATATATATATATATATATATATATATATATATGTCGTACCTAGTAGCCAGAACACACTTCTCAGCCTACTATGCAAGGCCCGATTTGCCTAGTAAGCCAAGTTTTCATGAATTAATTGTTTTTCGACTACCTAACCTACCTAACCTAACTTTTTTGGCAACCTAACCTAACCTAACCTATAAAGATAGGTTAGGTTAGGTTAGGTAGGGTTGGTTAGGTTCGGTCATATATCTACGTTAATTTTAACTCCAATAAAAAAAAATTGATCTCATACATAATGAAATGGGTAGCTTTATCATTTTATAAGAAAAAATTTGAGAAAATATATTAATTCAGGAAAACTTGGCTTATTAGGCAAATCGGGCCTTGCATAGTAGGCTGAAAACTGCGTTCTGGCTATTAGGTACGACATATATATATATATATATATATATATATATATGTCGTACCTAGTAGCCAGAACTCACTTTTTGGCCTACTATTCAAGGCCCGATTTGCCTAATAAGCCAAGTTTTCCTGAATTAATATATTTTTTCTTATTTTTTTCTTATGAAATGATAAAGCTACCCATTTCATTATGTATGAGGTCAATATTTTTTATTGGAGTTAAAATTAACGTAGATATATGACCGAACCTAACCAACCCTACCTAACCTAACCTAACCTATCTTTATAGGTTAGGTTTGGTTAGGTAGCCGAAAAAGTTAGGTTAGGTTAGGTTAGGTAGGTTAGGTAGTCGAAAAACAATTAATTCATGAAAACTTGGCTTACTAGGCAAATTTGGCCTTGCATAGTAGGCTGAGAAGTGAGTTCTGGCTACTAGGTACGACATATATATATATATATATATATATATATATATATATATATATATATATATATATGAAGCTATACACAAAGTTGCATGTATATATGAATACATAATCAATATATATAATTGATTTATTTAAATTTCTTCTTACATAAGACACAAAGAGTTGAATCTCTTGAATCTTCGAGATAAAAACTAAGCATAAGACAATTCTCATAACAAACTACTCAGATCACTATCTCTCATAACCGAGTTAAATGCTAACCTTGCAATACGAGCTCTGGCACTGGCTCGAGGATCAACTCTCCTCAATGCCGAGCCTGTAGAACTGGAAGGCACTGCAGGCCAGCTAAGCCTCTTCACATTCTCCAACAAGACTGAGACTATTGGAAAATATAGGCAGGCAATTCTCCCTTGTTGAGCCTAAAAAAAAAAAAAAAAAAGTAAATTTTGTGACATAAAACCCTACACCAGGGATGGGGAACCAATGGCATGTGTGCCGAACGTTATACGAGTAATTATTTTGTTGCCATGCATACACAGCTGTTTAGTCAGCTAAACAAGGCTCTTCAGGAATGCTTTAAAACAATTTTTTCTCCATTGGCACTCAAGATAACTTTTTGGAAAATTAAAGCCAATTTAATCACACGCTTTCAAAAAGGTTCCCCACCCTTGCCCTACACTAACATCACCATGGCCTGACTTAATGCAGTTAAGAAAATTATTAGTGCATGATTCAGCTTACTTTGTTGCTGCAGTCACATTAAAATAATTATAAATGAACCAAAACATTAATATTTGTGTAATTGCCAATTAAATTTTATTAAATAAAAAATGTAAGGGCAGTCATGCTGAAGATAGGGTTGATAAAATTCACAAGTCAGTGAAAAATAACACTGAAGTGTACTAAAGACAAATAAACACCGAAGAGTAATGAAGTGTACTGTGTATAACTGGTGAATTAGACTGAAAGATTGTTTGATAAGTAACATCTCTGACACAATAACAGCAAAGCAACTGGCATTGAATAATCCACGGTTGAATGTAATGAAATTCCTCTTTCTGATGGGCCACTCAATAGCTCTTTAATTCTACAACTTAGAAGCATAGCTTAAAACTTGGCCCACTAATATGTTGTTATTTCATATATTTAAAAGAATACCAGAACATTACAGTTGAACTTTCATGAACTTACAGACTGCAAGTATCTATCATCAAAAGCATGTTTTGCAAGCAAATCTCGAAGTACACCAATGGCCACTCTTTGTACTTCAGCAACTTCCCCAAGAGCAGCACGAACTTCGCTCAGCAATGCACCAACAAGAAAGTGCCGAGAGTTGAAGTCTGCACTAAGGTAGAATTCATCTGTTCCTGAAAAATATATATTTTTTGTGATTAACTGGATGGCCAGACTTACCTGCACTACTGAACTCTTTTTCTCTTACTAACTTCCAATTCTTTACCAAACTACCAAATACATGTAAACACAACATACTGCCTTATGATCTAGTCTAAATTCTAAAACTGGAGTATTTATTTAAAAATTAGATTTAAAAATCCACTTACCATTAACCTTGTAGGAAGGCCTCCCACTGCATGAACTGCTCTCTCTCTGAATTGCCTAATTTGGCTGTGGCCCACAACACCAATAAAGTAAGTCTGCCCTTCTCTTTTGGGGCACTCACTGATGGGAGGGGTCTCTCTTATAACAACTAAGGGGGAGGGGGGGGGGGCCTTGCTAATAAATAGTGTGAAGAGTTTATGAAACACTCTTTTGGGTCACTTTGTGCTGAACTTAGTTCCAGGGATACTATGCCCAAGAGGCATATGGTTAACCATTTTTATTCTTGTTTAAGTCCATGGGTGTTATTACCATTTCTCATTGATAGATAACAAGTTTTGCCGTGAGCCAGCCAATTACATTTCTCCACCAGCCATTCTCCTAACCTGGAATTGCCTACATAATATGTTTCATTTTACGATGAGACCGGAAGCATTAATTACCTGCTGTTTGATATGTCATGAATAATCCTACTAGGTCATACCCTAAATTAGTTTTCCTGTACAATGAATACAAGGATTAAACTAAGTAAAAATCATTATGAGAAAAATCGCAGTACAGTAATGGCTTACCATGACGTAATTTTGCTTTTTTGGCATCTATGGAATGAGGAGTATTGAAAACTGGGAGGTTTAATGGTATGAAGTGCTCATGTGAGCACACCACACGCAGCAGAGTAAACTTGTACATGTGAAGAACAATAGGATCACCAGGACTAAAATGTTCCAGGTACAACTTGGTAAGGCCAAACACATATCCTCGGTCCATCATGCTCAGACAACGCTGTTGAAAATGAATAAATGTAATTAATGACATTTCTTTTGTGTGTGTTTATATGTATAAATATGTATTTTATATAATATATATATATATATATATATATATATATATATATATATATATATTAATTCAGGAAAACTTGGCTTATTAGGCAAATTTGGCCTTGCAAAGTAGGCCGAGAAGTGCGTTCTGGCTACTAGGTACGACATACATACATATATATATATATATATATATATATATATATATATATACATATATATATATATATATATATATATATATATACATATATATATATATATATACATATATATATATATATATATACATATATATATATATATATATATATATATATATATATGTCGTACCTAATAGCCAGAACGCACTTCTCAGCCTACTATGCAAGGCCCGATTTGCCTAATAAGCCAAGTTTTCCTGAATTAATATATTTTTTCAATTTCTTTTCTTATGAAATGATAAAGCTACCCATTTCATTATGTATGAAGTCAATATTTTTTTATTAGAGTTAAAATTAACGTAGATATATGACCGAACCTAACCAACCCTACCTAACCTAACCTAATCTATCTTTATAGGTTAGGTTAGGTTAGGTAGATATATATATATATATATATATATATAAACAAAAATAATAGAAATGCCACTGAAAGGAAAGGTTTTGTCTAAGAGTGCTTTCAGACTTGTATCCATCCTCAGAGACAGTTTAGAACTAAATTGACTCTTAGATATACTATACAGTATATAAATATATATATAGATTATGTTCAACCCAATTGAAATATCTTCTACATTTAAAAAGTTTAGGAAGACTGTTTTTGTAACTTGCCTTGATAAAGTGGGCCAGGGCAATGTTGGCAGCCCTTGCTTCAACCGGGGTTTCTTTGTAACTTTGAATAATGTGTGTCGACACCAGTTCAACCACTGACCGAACCTCTGTCTGGTACTCTTCACTAAATCTCTCGTTTCGCACCATCTGGAAATACAATGGAAAAATGTTTCTACAGCATTAACCAGTTTAGCAGCAGGATGCTGCTTCTGGAAACTTTCCTTTTTAAGACTGCTCATAGCCCAGGCAATAGTGCTACAGTCTCTCACGCGTGGGGTCCACGGTTCGAGACCCAAGTGAATGGAATGTTTATTTCCATGGAAGTGTGGATAGCAATGTATATGAAAGTAATAGTTGTCTTAACTACACTAAGCATTCTATTATCTGAAACAGGAACTGCCTATATTGCATTGTCTGACAGTCAAGCATTCTTGCATTGATAATTATTGTTTTAACTTACTCACCTTGATTCTTGCAGTAGTAAGTAAATGTAGGGCCATGGAACGGGCAATGAATGCAAAAAAAAATTGGCTGTGTCGAAGAATTTTGTTTGTAATCAGCTGATCCATGCTGGAAGGTTGGAGGAGCTCTGCCAGAGAGTGACACAGTTCTTCATGGATTGTCTTGCGGCCATGGCATGAGATACTCATAACATACTGTATAAAGATGAAAAAAAAACAAGATCCAGACATAGAACTAGACAATAAATCTAGAGGAAATTTACATTGCTTCCACATAAAGAACAAATTTTGCTAATGCATCTCCCTTCAATTTTAAGTATTAATTATGTGCAACCACAGCAAACTTCAAATAATGCTTCTGCACCGAGTTAAACATATAATTCTCCCTAGACATATGAATGCTTTAACACTGGGATTAACTTAAGACACCTAGACATATTAATGCTTCAATAACTGCTAAAAATAAATGCTTCAATAAATGAGTTAACCTTATAGAGATCCCTAGACATCAGGAGTAATCTACAGTACTTATTTCTTGGGCACTGTCAAATTTTTAATTTTTTCTTTTGTTTTTAAACAATAAGATACCCCCCAAGAAGGGACATCTAAAAGGACAATATATTATTGTATGGGGATACCCTTTTTCCCTATATTCACTAACCTTAATGTATGAGTGTAAGATGTCATCACGACCTGCTTCATACACTTGATCTATAACATGAACCATAACTCTTAAGACATTTGTAGCAACATCTGGACCACCATTAAGGAGGGCTCCCAACAGCTGGTTGAGGAGTGTTGGTAGGAAGGCAATAATAGATCCAACTTCTAAAGCATGCAGGGCCTGTATGAAGTGAGATATTCATGATTATATTATATTATATATATTATATTATATTATATATATTATATTATATATTACACACACACACACACACACGTAGGGGTTGTTGTTGTTGTTAAAGATTCACTACCTGGAACAAAAAGTTCCAAGTAACACAGGCTATGGTGAGCCCGTAGCACGTAGGGGGGTGTGTGTGCTTACTATCCAAAACCACATCTTCATATCAAATTGTATAGATTTGATATGAATATAAATTATTTGACACAATGTATGTTCTAAATTTATGTTTAAATGGTTCAACAGTGCTTGTATCTGCACTCAGTTTTTCCACCAAAACATTTTCCCTTCACAATATTGAGCTTTGCTTTAAACCTTGCAATCCAGCCATCACTTGCCTGGAAATCCAGTATTCCACCTGGTTGCAGCATTTCTTATTTCTGCACCATAAATTGTCATGCCAGCTATGCGGTGCTGTGTAAACCCCTTGTACACAGCCTCATCCAACTGTACATTGTATGAAGGTTTTAAAGTTTTCTACTGCACCCTCACTCTCCCTGGTTACTATGTATGTAATGAAATCATCTTTTTGTTTCTTTATATCATAGACAGTACTAGCACCTATAACAAATTCTTTGGCAACACTCACAGATGACCGGCCAATTTCACAGAGCTCTATGACACGTAACTTATCTTTAACCACAACCTCCTTCCTTTTAATACCCCCAGAACGATTCCTGCTGCTACCAGACATAGTCGTGGCAAAAAATGATCAAAGTTACTATAAAAGCTAAAAAATTATTTAAGAAAATGTTTCATTAATGGTGCTGCACTGTGGTATAACGTGAGGGTCGAGAGCACATGGCATGTTTAGGACTGGTCCATTTGGGGCATGTTACGTAGGCTGCCAGGTTTAAAATAAATACCCAAATTTTAGCAGGACACTAGTCATCAGCCTGTACACATAGTTTTTAAGAGATTTCATGTTCAAGCATATCATGTTCAAATCTATACATAATAAAAGTATGCAAGTTTTTAAAACTATAGTTTCCCTTTTAAGTATTTTCTTAAAATGTTCAGGAAATGTTTATTTGATATTTAGAAAAATGTGAAATGTAATAGGTGCAATAATTTTAATACTGCAGATTACTTCAGTAAGTAAGTTACAATTTTATAGGCAGCCATTAGCATATGACTTGTAAACATAAAGCATCTACTATTCTGAAAGGTCTATAAAATAGAAAAAGAAATAATCTAGGTTTCTAGGTTCCTGAATAGAGATAAATTCCAAACAATACATACTTTTAGATTTTTAAGTGTTTCCACATCCATTGGTTGAGCAGATCTTGGGCTAGAAGCAGCACAAGTTCCACCAGAGGAGCTAATCAGGGGAAGAAGAGAGGCACTGGAGTGAAAGAAATTGTGCAGATGTTGATCTGCACTTAAAACTGTGGAGACTAAGCGCATAGATACACGAAACACATTCTTCTGGCTGTCCACCCAACGCACTTCTGGTCCAGCAAACTAAAGGGAGACAGATTTAAATAAAGAATTTGACATGCTATTTGTTTGGCAAAATAGATTTGGAATTAGTTCAGGGTAAAATAAAAGAATAACCCAATCACTGAGAAGAGGTAGAAGATATTTAAAAAAATAGAGAATGAAAAGTGGAGCAAAAACTTTAATTACCAAATTGGTAAACATTTATAGTGAACATCTTAATACTGTAATATCAGGTGTCAGATGATGTTACGACCCTGGGTTCTCCAGTGGAAACCAGAGGTCAAAATTGAGCTATTAAACTTCCTAAGTAGTACAGTTGGCGCATTTCGAATGGAAATTGTTTGTATCTTCCCTGCCAGACGTAAGACTATTATTGTTTCTCAAAGAGCATTTAAAGACTGAGCTGGGGGTTGATTATTAAATAATAACATAGGCACCAACTTTGCTTACTAATACTTTCTAATCATTCATAAAGTAACAATACGTTGCATAGGGGAAGATCTTTAATGTGCTTAGCTGCACGATCAATTAGGCTCCTTCCGGCACCACGACATGAGGGAGGCCAGGTGGTCGCGAGGAGCTCGCTCTTCTCTTGGCTGGTGGCGTGAGGTTAAGACCTACTCTGTGGCTGTATCCCTACTCTCCTTCCTTCTCCTCTTACTTATTTCCCTTACCTGAAGTTCCTGTACCCTTAAGTTAAGTATTATATGGTGTAAGTGTGCCTACTCTGGTAGTAACAATTGGGGAGACCTGGGGATAGTATTTTGCCAGTGTTTGGGTACCCCTAAGTGTTGTGTTTTGTATTAGGGTCCCACGTGGTTTCACTACCCTAAGCTGCATCCAGCTTCAGTGCTTATCCAGTAGTACTTTACCCTAGCTTGTTATTAGTGTAAACCTTGTATCCTGCCTACGTGGACCAAGGCTTTTAACGTAAGATAGTGTGGTAAAGTTATTATTATTATTGTTATTGGTGTGAGTGTATATGGGGGGTTGTTAACGGGTTAATAAATAAGTACATGAATTACAGAGTATCTCTTCTTCCAAGGTGGGAGCGCAGTGATCAACCCTTAGACTAACATATTTGGTCTTGTAGCAAGTTATTACTACTGTGGATAGTTTATTTTGGGGGCCGGGCCTTTTAGCTCTCCCATATTTGATACTCCTGTCTTCTAACTACCTATACCCCTTAATAGTACCAGTACCCCATAGAAGCCCCACTCATATCAGTTGTAACAAGTGGGGGCCTGTCCGGGATGAACATTATAAGTGTAAAAAATTAGATTCTTGAGTGCCAAAATTAAAATTTTTTATTTCTGCAGAACGGTTGTGTGCTAGCCTAGGGTCCAGCTCATCTAGCAAAGGACATTCTTGCACTGACTGGACACCCAGCTGGATCCCTTCACGATTAAGGTTAGTGTGGCCTTGTGTTAGGGGCCGTGCAAATTTTTGTTTTTTTTCCAATTTTTATTTTTTAATTTTTTCTTTGGCTGGGAGCTAAAATTATTAGTGATGTCTTCTGAAATGCAGAAACTGGCAAGGGAGCCTTCAGTGGTAGAGATAAAGAAACTTAAAAAGTCTAATTTAGTATTGTTAGGCCAGGAATTTGGCCTAGAATTAAATGTCGCAGATAAAAAGTGGACTTTGGTAAATGAAATATTAGAACATTGTATTGATGAACAACTATTGGCAAGTGATACACCTTTATGCCAGCCTAGCCAAGCAGAAAGTGCAACTCATAGGGAAAGTGAATTAGCTTTAGAGTTAGCAAAAATAAAATTAGAGGAGCAAAAACTCAAAACCGAGGAGGCTAGAATTAGAGCGAATGCCACTGGAACTCCACCTGCCGGGGATTCAAACCCCAGGCATTATGAGAAAAAGCATAATTTGCCTGAATTTTCCGAGTCTGACCCTGAAAGGTTTTTCAACCATTTTCAGAGAGTGGCCACGTCCATGAACTGGCCAAAGGAAGAGTGGGTGAAAATCCTACAGGGAAGACTTAGGGGTAAAGCACAAGATATTTTTATAAACATGCCTGACGACGAGTGTTTCGAATATGATAAAGTCAGGGAAGGTATTTTGCGGGCATATGAAATTACTCCTGAAGCTCACCGCCAAGTTTATCGTAACCTTAGGCCTACTCACAACCAACCGCTCACTGAATTTGTGAATGATCAAATTCGATTGTTTGATAGATGGATTCGCTCGGCGAAAGCCGAAACATACGAGGCTCTCAGGAACTTAATTTTAATGGAGCATTTTATAGATGTTATGCCAGAGAACGTATCACAATACATTAAAGGAAGGATAGAGTTAAATTCTAAAATAGGGGATTTGGCCAAGTTGGCAGAAAACTACCAATTGGCGGGCAAAAGGCCCAATAAAAATAATTATACCCCACAGAGTAGCAAACCTTATACCCACAGCCAGTCCAGACCAGCTCATTCTAACCCTTTACCTAATGCACCTTCTGTTTCAGACATAACTAACCCTGTTAAAGTGTCTAGCCCAACGGCACCTAAAGGTGAACCGAAGGGTAATTCTGTTAGTAATGTCTCTTCTCCCCGACGTTTTTGTGGTCACTGTAATCGTCCAAACCACAGTATTAGCCGTTGTTGGCAACTGCACCCTGAAAAAAGACCCAATGCTCTAGTTGTGACACAGGGCTTGAGGCTTTCAGAAGGGTTAGGAAGTAAGACCTCCAACCCACAGTGGTTGGACTTGCTTACCCCATTCTTATCGAAAGGGAGACTACTTTTGTCTGAGGGTTCTTCCTGGAAGGACGTGGTGATCTTCCGAGACACCGGTGCCATCCAGACTTTAATTTTAGAGAGTGCGTTGCAAGGTGCCAACACTCTCGACACTGGAGAGGTGGTACTGGTCGAGGGTGTCACTAGTGATACTCGGGCAGTACCCCTCCATAAGGTTACCCTGGAATCTGATTTCCACAAGGGTGTTTGTACAGTCGGAGTCACTCCATACCTACCTTTCCCTAATGTTGATGTAATAGTTGGTAATGATTTAGCAGGGGATAAGGTAGGGGACTCCAGACTGCCTATTATGTTGCCTACCCCTAAGGTTTGCCTGGATCCGCCCGCCGCAGAGGATAATGTTCTGTACCCTGCGTGCGCGGTGACCAGGTCTATGGGACTTAAATGTAAGGGCAGCCCTGTGCTTGCCAAGGTGGTAAATCCCGAGGTCACGAGGAGCTTTCCGAGTGGTGAAAACCAAGTGGACCTCGCGGACACATTCATGGCCCGACTCGATGACGTGGCCGAGGACATTGTGGAGAGCCTGCCACCGCCATCTACCGAGAGTAGTGGGGAGGTGGAGAACACTGTTGAGCCTCGGCCAATGGCATCTGACCAAGGCCTAGATGCCTCCTTGAGTGAGTTACAGAAAGCTGACCCCACTCTTGCAGATTGTCATGAAACAGCCGTCTCTATGGAGGAAATTGTAGACGCAGCAACTGGGTACTACTACAATGATCGGATTTTGATGAGAAAATGGAGACCACAGAGTGCTCCCTTGTCAAATGAGTGGGAGGTAGTCCACCAGGTTATGTTGCCGACCTGCTATAGAGAAAGGGTTTTGGCAGCTGCTCATGATGATTCTATGGGGGGACATCAAGGTATTAATATTACGTATCACAAAATTTTAAAGTATTTTTTCTGGCCCAAGCTGAAAAGCGATGTGGCAAAATTTTGTAATGCGTGTATTGTTTGTCAACTGGTTGGGAAACCAAACCAGACTCCACCTAAAGCTCCTCTAAGGCCTATTGTCGTGCCGGAGGAACCATTTTCTCATGTGGTAATGGACTGTGTTGGACCATTACCTAGAACTAAGTCTGGTAATATTTACCTAATCACGATGATGTGTATCACTACTCGTTACCCAGAGGCTTTTGCTGTAAGGAACATCCGAGCAAAAACTGTTGTTGCTCGTATGTTGCAATTTTTTTCCACTTTTGGACTGCCTCGGGTCGTGCAAACTGACAATGGTACTAATTTTAAGTCTGATGTTTTCGAGCAATTTTGTAAGGAACATGGAATAACTCATAAGGTTTCCAGCCCATACCATCCACAGAGTCAGGGGGTAATTGAACGTTTCCATCTAACTCTGAAGCAGATGTTGAAGACATCGTGCGAGAGTTCCCACACCTTCTGGGATGAGAATTTACCGTATGTTTTGTTTGCGGCTAGAGAGGGATTACAAAGTTCACTGGGCTGTTCTCCTTTTGAGTTAGTCTTTGGCCATAAAGTTCGTGGACCCTTGCAAATGTTACAGGAGAATCTGTTAGGGAACGTAACGTTATCCGAAGGTTCGGCTTTCTTTGCGCAACACCACCAGAGACTCAAGGACTGCAAGGCGGCTGCATTAAAGTATCTTGGCAAGGCCCAAGAAAAGATGAAAGAACGTAACGATGCTAAATCTAAGTTACGGGTATTTCAGCCTGGTGACCCGGTCCTGGTATTAAAGCCTCGACTAGGGAACACTATGTCCCACAAGTACGAAGGCCCCTACATTGTGACAGAAAAGACGGGGGACCTCACGTACAAAGTGAGGCACTCTGACAAACGTAACCAGGTAATGCTCATACATGTAAATCGACTGAAGAAGTTCCAGGGCCCCAGGCCCATTGCACTAACCAATGTTTCCATTTCCAGTGAGAGAGGGGATGATTGTTCTGGGGACCCAACTAATCTCATTTTCAATAATTCTAGTTCTGTGAATGCTGTGGAGGAACTGTCCCATTTGCAGATGGCCCAACGTGAAGAGGTGCAGTCGTTGGTTGATGAATTCTCCAGTCTGTTCGGGGAGGTCCCGACCCAGACTGATGCCATTTGCCATGATGTCGAGTTGACGGACTACACTCCCATTCGCCTTCAACCCTATCGGATGAGTCCAGAAAAGAAGGCCATCGTACGGAAGGAGGAGGTCGACTTCTTGCTCCAGCACGGCCTCATCCGGCCGAGCCAGGGCTCTTGGTGCTCGCCCTGCCTTTTGGTCCCCAAACCAGACGGCTCCTGGCGATTATGCACCGACTATCGGCAGCTCAACAAGGTGACCATTGTGGATGCCTATCCGCTGCCCCTCCTCGAGGACTGCATCGACGAGTTGGGAAATGCCAAGTACGTTTCGAAATTCGACCTCTCGAGGGGGTATTATCAAATCCCACTCACTGAACATGCTAAACAGCTCACTGCGTTCGTGACACCCGAGGGTGTTTTTGAGTATCAAGTGTTACCGTTCGGCTTGCGTAATGCCCCTGCCACGTTCCAGAGACTCATGAACTCTCTACTCGCTAAGGTGCCAAATTGTCGGGCGTATTTAGATGATATCGTGCTGTTTGACAGTAATTGGGCTGACCACATAGCTAGGTTACGCCAGTTGTTTGCCATCTTGAAAAGGGCAAATCTTACCTTAAATGCTAAAAAGTGTCATTTTGGCCAAGGCACAGTGACGTACCTCGGTTATGAAGTGGGCCAAGGAAAAGTGTTACCTCGGCAAGATAAAATCAATGCCATTCTGGAGTATCCAGTACTAAAGTCTAAAAAGGACGTTCAAAGATTTATCGGTATGTGTGCGTACTATCGACGTTTTTGTCAGAACTTTTCCAGTGTTGCCACTCCTCTCACAGACTTGTTGCGGAAAGCCGTTAAATTTAAGTGGTCATCAGACTGTGCAGAGGCATTTAAAAATTTGAAATTGATCTTAGCTTCCGCCCCAGTGCTTGCTAGTCCAAGGTTCGACCGACCGTTTAAAATTCATGTTGACGCGTCTGACTCGGGTGCTGGTGCAGTGTTGTTGCAAACTGGGGATGATCAGGTGGAACACCCAGTATATTATTACTCTGTGAAATTCGACAAGGCGCAACGCAATTATTCAGTGGTAGAAAAAGAGGCGTTGGCGCTAGTGTTAACATGTAAAAAGTTCGAAGTTTACCTCACAGGTAATATAGTGGAAGTGTACACGGACCATAACCCACTAGTCTTCCTGACTCAGATGAAGGGTAAGAATAAACGCATCCTCAGGTGGGCGTTGTACCTACAGGACTTCAATCTTTCCATTACCCACCTACCGGGCAGACTCAACGTGATAGCCGACGCTCTGTCCCGGTTGCCTGAATAACATTCATCTGAGCCACAGAAAGCCATTTACCAACTGTCATGCTTTAGTTATTTTTTTTTAGGTTCTCCTGTGACATTAAATATTCCGTGTCCAATTTATTTACTTCCCTGTTCTTTTATTTTTGTTGTGTATGTTTTTTTTTCTTTCAGAGAACTCCTTTGTATTTTTTTTTTGCAGAGAAATTGCTTTTGATTGATTTTTTGTTTTTGTCATGTTTTTCTTTTTGTTCTCTGTATACTCTTACAAAAAAATATGACTACTATTCTAGTAGTCACATTTTTTTTTCTCTGAAGGGGGGAGGAGTGTTACGACCCTGGGTTCTCCAGTGGAAACCAGAGGTCAAAATTGAGCTATTAAACTTCCTAAGTAGTACAGTTGGCGCATTTCGAATGGAAATTGTTTGTATCTTCCCTGCCAGACGTAAGACTATTATTGTTTCTCAAAGAGCATTTAAAGACTGAGCTGGGGGTTGATTATTAAATAATAACATAGGCACCAACTTTGCTTACTAATACTTTCTAATCATTCATAAAGTAACAATACGTTGCATAGGGGAAGATCTTTAATGTGCTTAGCTGCACGATCAATTAGGCTCCTTCCGGCACCACGACATGAGGGAGGCCAGGTGGTCGCGAGGAGCTCGCTCTTCTCTTGGCTGGTGGCGTGAGGTTAAGACCTACTCTGTGGCTGTATCCCTACTCTCCTTCCTTCTCCTCTTACTTATTTCCCTTACCTGAAGTTCCTGTACCCTTAAGTTAAGTATTATATGGTGTAAGTGTGCCTACTCTGGTAGTAACAATTGGGGAGACCTGGGGATAGTATTTTGCCAGTGTTTGGGTACCCCTAAGTGTTGTGTTTTGTATTAGGGTCCCACGTGGTTTCACTACCCTAAGCTGCATCCAGCTTCAGTGCTTATCCAGTAGTACTTTACCCTAGCTTGTTATTAGTGTAAACCTTGTATCCTGCCTACGTGGACCAAGGCTTTTAACGTAAGATAGTGTGGTAAAGTTATTATTATTATTGTTATTGGTGTGAGTGTATATGGGGGGTTGTTAACGGGTTAATAAATAAGTACATGAATTACAGAGTATCTCTTCTTCCAAGGTGGGAGCGCAGTGATCAACCCTTAGACTAACATATTTGGTCTTGTAGCAAGTTATTACTACTGTGGATAGTTTATTTTGGGGGCCGGGCCTTTTAGCTCTCCCATATTTGATACTCCTGTCTTCTAACTACCTATACCCCTTAATAGTACCAGTACCCCATAGAAGCCCCACTCATATCAGTTGTAACAGATGACTAAGACAAATTAAAGAAATAAGTTACAGTACTGTATTTAAGAGTAAGAAATTTATGTTTTATAATTACTAGACTCATAGCTGAATAATTTGGAGAGATACTGTACTTACAAATACAACAGTGAAATTCATAATTATCTTTTAACTTTATTGAGACATATAGCACTTGTAAGAAAGACAACACAGGGTGTCTATAAGCATGATGATAATATAATTTAAACTGATGACTTTTAAGAATATTTTAACTTCCACATGAATATTTATATATTGAATTAACAAAGAACAGTACTAATAATAGAAAATTTAGATGAATCATCATAGAGTGTGTTAGCCAATAATGTGTTGTAATGAGAGAGTACAAGTTGTTCAATTGAATAAAATGAACCGCACTTTTCTGATGGCCCTCATTAGCCATCCAAAGCTTGTGCACTGATGCAGTCAAGCCTTAAAAAATGCACCACACCTCTGAGACCCTATTGAGCCTATCAGGAGCCAGGACCATAATCAATCTAGCTCTCTCTATGAAGTAATTAGAGCTTGAAGGGGATCAGAGATACACTCAAAACCAAGAGAAACCATTAGATAGTGTAAGCACATCAAAAGAAGACACTGCTTGAAGGGAATGAGGTAATTGCTTGAAGGGAATGAGGAAAACAAGGCAACCAATTGTTGGCATACAGTAATGACCCTAGCTGTGAAGCTTCTGGCTACCACTTGATGGCAGCTAAGGCTTCTTGTGGTCCATGCCAGCCAGTCACACCATTTAAGAGCTGCCCGAGCACAACCCCTTCCCCTCAAACTCCCACGGACAAGAACAATCACTTGTGAAACCCAAACAAACCCTTGACTAAAGTGCACAGACTGCACAGAAGCAGAGCTTCCCCACCTCATAGGGACAATAAGATTCTGGTCCTGGCTTCTGGTAGACTCAACCAAGTCTCAAAAGACCTGGTGTGATTTCCTAAGGCTTGGCAGTACCAGTGCTAAAGCTCAAGGAGCTACTAAGGGAGACGCCCTCAGAGAACGGTAGATCTTACAATATGGCAGTCAACACACTGAAGACTTGGCAACACTTATGCATGAAAGCGACTATTAACCCAACAAGGGGAATACAGGAATACAATGTTTGCCATTGAGGTACAAATACTCTGCAAGGCAATCCTCTAGGCTGTATCATATGCTGTTCTGCCAATCCACTTATTGATGTGCCATAGCAATCAACACAGGAATCCAAAACAACTGACTGTAACCAGGACCTCTGCTTGAATCCACAGCATGAGAAAAGAAATCCGAGTGACAATACAAATTATTAATTAACCATAACTTAACCTTGTTATTAATTAACCTTCCCCAAGATAAGGAAGGATTAGGGTAACCAGGGCCTAAAATAAAAAAATTTAATTTAAAAATCTTGAAGTAAGACAAAACTAAGGAGCTGAAAATGTAATGGTAAACTCGAGATTAGAAGTTACTGCTGCTGACATACCAAATCTAGTACCGAGAGAGTGGTCAACATATAAGGTCCAGAGAAACAAACATGGAAAGACATTCACAAGAAACATTTATAATAAGCATGAGCCCACAGTGCTAAGTGAAATTAAGCCCACTGTACTAAGTGAAACTAAGCCCACAGTGCTAAATGAGCCCACAGTGCTAAATGAGCCCACAGTGCTAAATGAGCCCACAGTGAAAACTAAGTTTCAATAGATGAATACATAACTAAACTGATTCTGGTCTATGCCTGTCCTCCTGACATGTGGAGCAGTCAGAGAAAATTTGGTGACAATCAGAAATGAAATCTGGTGAGCCAATTCGCAGTCTGAGAGAGCGCTACTTGGTGGTTCCTAGTGATGCTAAGTAGAACTTGTAGGATTTGGAACGATTACGCTTGAAACTTCCAAGGTTATGCCGACCTGGATTGAACTTTACGTAAGTGCCTCCCTAACACCATTATGACCCAACATGGATGTCTGAAAAGATCCCTATTGAGGCAGAATGTCACCTCGTCTTGATTGGCATGATCTTATGCAATTTGACCAGAAAGGATCTTGCCTTAAGAAGCATGCAAGTAAGAAAGCTTAGAATAAATTATTACATACAAAAACCTATAGAATTAAAAACTTACCCCTTTTCCAAGGCCTAGTGGTTCAATGGAGAGGTATTTAGCTGGTAAGTGAGCTGCTACAGGAAGGACCTGCTCTTCAATAACAATTCTTCCTTTTAATGTCAGAGGCAACCATGAATAACCAACCACAGTCTCAACTGGTACATCTCTTTTCCCTGCTTTGGCTGCTTCAATAGCCACATGTGAGAAGGTAAAGAGTAGATGATGCAGTGCAGTTAGATTGTGAGGTAGTAAAATCTTTATTTCATCACCCCACTCTGGCCAGGTGTTGTGATGCAATACTACAGTTGACATCTGGGCTGTTAGTGTTCCTGAACCTGGGCGGCCATAAATAGCTCGCAAAGGAGTCGCACCTTCGGCATCAGAATCTCGAAGTTCAATAGTGCAAACCAAATTTCTTGCGCGACTGAAGCTTTTCTGATTCTCATAATTCAAGAAGTGTGGATAGACATAAAGGTGATTGCAATAGCTCACATATGGATGGATGTCATCAATGTGGCTACTTGGAAACTCCTGCACCTCCACTGTTGGCTCATGGGTAGGCGGATTTGGAAATGGCTTCACTGGCTCCAGAGCAGGTGTCAGTGAATCTGAAATAAAAGTGTATACAGTATATATATATTGTTAATATATAAATGAAATTAATGAAGCAAGTGTGTATGATTACTTATTTATGGTTAGACTAAACAAAATAGAGCAATAAGGGTAATGAAATAACACTTTTTGTACAGCTCCTCAGTTACTTCCCAGAGCTTATAGCACTGGAATTGCTCCAATCTGGATTTGTGTTCTCAACTGGTACATTCCTTGTCTCACATTCAGTGATTTCAAGAAATGATTTTGGTTAGTTTCTCTGGATCTTCAGAATGTCTTTTGGCATGTTTCCATTTACCTGGAGTACAGAGATTGGCTTGGGTTCAGATTGGGGGTATCTACAATGCTACTTTCAAGGTATGAATCTGATTTCCAGAATCTTCACAAGACTGACTTCTTCAGAGGTTATTTGACATCTTCATTTGATGGGGATCTGAATTCTGGTCTATCTCAACATTTTTACTGTTGGGCCTGTACTGGAATGACAGGATGGTCCCCATCTCTCTTTCACAGTCGGCCCTATTGTGGCTGCACTACTGCCACCAGCCAGTACTGGAGAGGTCTCAGCTTTACCATCAGAGCCTCAAGCACCTCTTATGCAGTGTGAATTTAGCACATGTGGGTTACCATTTGGGCCACATTCCGTGAGTATCTTCTTGCTTGTGAAAGATTTTTTTTCATAATTTTTTCTCTTCATTCTTTGTTAAGTTTCAGTCATGATAGAACCTTCCTCCTCCATTATTAGAGCTATTTGCAGATGCTTTGAATTTTAGTTAAGGGTTCATCACCAGCTGTCACCACATTTATGATAGATCAATCAGTCTCAGAAAGAATCAGTTTCAGGACTAATAAATTTTCACTTATTTTGGAATGTGCAGTGGTCAATATTTCTTCTGGCATTATGTTGTGCTAGGAGCCAGGATCAAACTAATTTTTGTCAATGTTATTAAAAAATAAGGAATCTGTATGCAAAAGTAAAGGAATACCCATCTAAGTATATAGTTAAGACGATGAGTCACAATAATGTGGCTGAAGATATGATGACCACAATCGCCTTGATAATTGTCCAGAATGGACCAAAATCCAGTCTCCTCATCTTCTGGTGAGTGGTTTGGTCATCAAGTACAGTATATAGTGAAGATCTTTATGTTGGTTTAGGTCCCTGGTTCCAAACCAGTGGGTTACAACCACTTTGGGCTTTATCTTGAGTATTAGAAAACAGGGCTGTTCCCCACAAGGTTGGGAACCACCAGTCTAGGCAAATGCTACAATCACTATGTTTATAGGGGACCAAGAGCTGAAAACTAAGGAAGCTGATCTTGCCTATGGGCATGACCAAGTGGTATAATCTCCGCAAGAGAATGCAAACCATACTGGTAACTGGCAGGGTCTTGACAAGTGTACATCTCTAGATCAGATAGGAGAATATTGCAGCACCAGCATTCCCACCATAAGGGCTGTTTATGTTAAACAACTGAAATATAAGACAAAAACTTACTTGGTAATGTAACTTCCATTGGCAAAATCTGGATGCCAACACTTCCTGGTATGACTGTTAATTTATTCATCTTTTCTGGCTTTCGGAAGTCGGAGAGCATCTTTATGAATTCAAGTTCACTAAGACGTTTTTCTTCACAACGATAAATTGGAGAAAAATCTGAATCTGTGTCAAGATTGCCAGAGCTCTTAAACAGTGGGCGAGCACACCAGCCAAAAGGCATTCTAAATTCACCAAGCCTGTTCAAAAACAAAATACAACAAATAATTATAATACATATATTGGTACTGTATAAAATAATAAATATAAAAATTAAGCACCGAATATAACGAAATACCATTTTGAGACGAGCCTCTTAGTAGCTTTCCAAGTTACAGCATTGGGGCTGACAAACCTTAGGGAGTTGCACCAGGCCTCAAAGACCCACCCAAGCTTACTGAGAACCCAGACCAGAATCTGCCTCTTTTTGAGGTATGGGAAGCTTGGGAAGCAAATCTCAACCTAAAACCAAGAAAATGTCTACCAGAAAACATAAGTATCTCAAAACATGCAGTTGCTTGAAAGGAAATTAGAGACCCTGAGGAAAATAAGGGAAACAATCATTGCCACAGATTAAACACCCCAGCCACAATGATAACAGCCCAAGCCATCTGTGGTCTCCACCAGCCAGTCACATCATTGACGAGTCATCTGAATTGAAACGTCCCCAAATTCCCACAGGAGAGAAGGCAGGTATGGGGAACTACTAAGTAGCCCATACTTAGAATTTTTAAAAGTAAAAGGAAATTTCATTACAAAAGGCACAAGCAGACAATAGATGAACACTCCCAAAAAAAGAGAATCCTCCACAAAAAAAAAAAAAACTGAAAAATAGGGGCCACCTCCTACCAGTCAAGAACCTGCATACAACAAAAGTCTGACATGTCCAGGAAAAACAAGATGTTGCCTGACTGCCAGCCAGGAGTAAGCTGGGACTTCATACCGCTACCAGGAATTGCAGGACAACCCCATATACAAAAGAATTTAGGTTAATCTCAGATGCTTTGTCCTGGTCTCACAGGAAGAAACCTATTGGGAGAAACAAGACAACAGAAGCCAGCAAAGAAGAGGTATATCCTAGATGTTACCCGATACCTGGAAATGCACCTATGGGGTAGCATAGGAGGCATCCAGTTCATCATAAAACATAAGAGATCACACATCTGTAGAAAGCAACAAGCTCCCGGGCACTAAACTCCAAAGAGGAGCCAAAAACCAACCACTGGGAATCACCTGGTAACATCAAATCAGTGGGGCCATTCCCCTCACAGAAGAAGGCCGCAGAACAGAGCTAATATTCCCTTAAATCCCGTGAGCACAAAAGGATAGAAAGGCATCAGCAAAGAAAGCATCTGAACTCTGACATAGAAGGAGTAGAAAGCCAAGCTGATTCCATCAAGATCCCAGAGGAGACATTCACTGAAGATGCCTCCCAATATCCCCCAATCCTTTAGCACCTAAGGGTCATTGGCCCAAGGCTACTAAGAAGCCTATTTTCAATGGATAAGATTTGGAAACTGTTTTCAAATCAGTTAACAGCCAGATGAACTAGCTGTTAACTAGCCAAAGCAGAGGCAGCAGAAGAGGCAGTGTAAATTTGGCACACACATCTAAAACAAGATGCTCCAAATACTCCACATAAAACAACAATTCAGCTGCCTTGCCATCCAGCTCAGCAAAGGGCTGCAGAAACCAAAAAACTGCAGAGCACAAACTGTCAATGTGGCTGTAATACCAGGTTTGTAAATGAATTGACTGGCTAGCAGGGACCCCAACTGGCCTGGGCAGCCATCTAGTAACAGTTGGGCACATCAAAGCTGGTGTACTGTACCCACTACAATGATTGTTTGCATTGCTGTCTCAGGGGTTACTAATTTTATCCAAACAGTTGCTTATTTTAGGGTAAATTATACTTTCTGGTGTTCTGTTTGGCTTTGGCTTGATCTCTGACCTGCAAGCACCTTTCATCTCATACAGAGGCAGACTTGTTCTGGCTTCTGATAAATTTGAGTAGGTTTAAGATTCCCAAGGGTTGGCAGCCCCCAGTGCCATAGCTACATGAGCCTTTGAGGAAGTCTTCCCATAAAAGTTGTTAAATATATAAAAACCAATAATGAACCAACTTGACAAAAAGTTTCCCTTTTGCATTAGGTTATAGACAATATTTTAATAAAATTAAACTTTCCTGTAAAGGAAAAAATAAGAGCAGGCTATGTAATGTTTCCTAGGGTGCAGACTTCAACCTTTATTATAACAATGTAAGAGAATATCTGTTAATTAATGCAGAAAATAGTAACATCTCATACCTATAGCAGCAAGTTTTGATAAGTTTTTGCAGTTTCTGGATACCCTTGGAGTCCATACTCTTGAGATATGGCTCCACAGTCTGACTAATGGATCCCTGAAGAACTTTCTCAATGCTTATTACAAGAAAGACATCACTATGAGGCCTTGTCACACTCATCACAGCCTGCACACAGAAAGTACATTATTATTATAACAGTAATTAGAACAATAGCTAGCTACATACTGTACATACATATATTTTTTGTACATGTGTGAGCAATTACCTAAGTATAGTTATAGGATGAGAGCTGTGTGCGTGGTGTTCCGTCTTCCCGGTACTGTCACATGATGCTTTGAGACTACTGATGATTTTGGTCTCCACAGCCTTCTCATTCAACGTGTTCCAACTGTCTGCCACTCTGTTTGCAAAGGAAAACTTTCAAATATTTTTTTCAGCACCTTTGTTTCCTTAGAAAGAATCTATGATGCTCTTGTTCTTAAGTTGTAGGTTTCAGAAATTCCTCTGTCAATTTTATTGATTTCTGTTGTCTATTTTGTATGTATGATCATATCACCTTCTTTTCTTCTACCTTCGGCATATATAATAACCCCTGGCCTCTCCTCGCAGCTCTTGTTTTCCACTTCCAAAAACACTTTGTAGCATGTCTACGCAAGTTTCCAAGTTTACTGATGTGCTTCTTGAGAAATGAGCACCATATAATTTCAGCTTTTTCCAATTTTGGTCTCACAAAAGTCGCGAACAGTTTCATTAATATTTTAACATCTATGTATTTAAAAGCGATTCAGAAGTTGGAAAGCATGGCAGATCCTCCTTGCACAACGTCCTTTATGTGGTCCTCTGAGTGACAGTCTACTATTCAGAATCACCCCCTAGTTCTTTTTCTTTGTTAGAGTTCTTTAATGTCTTCCCACATAATCTGTAGTTGTGTCTCTTATTTTCTCCTATTCAACATTCCATAATGTGACATTTAGTCACAATGAATTCCATTTGCCAAGTGTTGCTCCATAAATTTATTTTGTCGAAGTCACCTTGAAGGGGATAATAATCATCTTTATCTTCCCTAGTAGCTTAGCATCATCAGCAAACATGATCACATAATACTTCTGGTAGAACTGTCCACTGTCAGCAACAGAATTGTCTGGTCAGGAGAGCCGGCTGCAGACTGGAGCCGGGCTCCCTGGTAGTGGTAATCAGTACTTAGTACAGTACAATTCAGTACAATTAGTCGAGTGAATCCCTTTTTCTTTGTGAATGTTTGTGGAATCTTTTGGCTCTTTTGATGCTTAATTTTCTGTAAACCCTCCAGTTATCTGCATTGCTGAATTTATGAACATTTTCCTGGTGGGTAGCAAATTGTCACTCATTCCCTATCCTTTTGTGAGATGGCCAAGTTCTGGCTCTGGTCCCCAGTACACCAAACAGAACTTCCACAACTGATGTGACTTTTCAGTATGGAGCAATCTCAGCAATAGCTTCAGGGTGTCAATGGGGGGTCTCCCCTATAAATGCCAAAATTTAACTTGAAAATATTCTCTGGAATAATAGGGGAATGGGGGAGAAACCTTTGACAAGCTGACAATTTCCCATTACCATTAAGGCCACCAGAGACGGTAAATTCAGGTAAATTTCCCAGGCTCTATGGATGTACAGTGTATCTACTGAGCATATCTTAATATCAACCCCTCAAATGAAGAATATCTACTAGGAGAACCTGACTACAGTATATATAAAGTTTCAATCCCAATAAGAAAACCACACATTCAAATCATATAATGCAAATGAGCTTCATTTTTAGTACTTCAATGCATAATTTGTTTCTTAAAAAAAATTGCAACTAGAATTTAGGTTAATTTACATCTTACCTGATAACCAAACCACACTTCAGAAGATGGAGAAATAACGACATTTTGGTCTATCCTGGACCATTATCAAGTCATATGTGAGGGAGAGAGAGGAAGGAACGGGCAATAAATAAGGAAACATCGTCGTTTCCCCATCTTCTAATGTGTGGTTTTGTCCTCACTATCTTCAGCCACGTTATTGTGACTCATCATCTACATCTTACCTGTTTAGGGTGTGCAATCCACTCCTCAGGCACTCCAGCAAGCGATAGAGGTAATGATGTTCCAGTGCTATCCTTGGGATCATCAGATTTCTTCTTCGCTTTGGATAGCAGGCTGCGTACCATAGGGTTATTAAGGTCAAAATGAAAGTCTTCGGAAATCTTGCAGCCTTGTATAACATCATAGAGTGATGCATGTGTCATATATGGTTCCAACTGTGAATAATCAATAACTAATGTAAGTAATGGCACCAGTCGAGGTAGTTCTTCCACCAAATGAAAAATAAAGCATCGAGTGTAATGAAATTCCCCTTTCTATGTGGCACCTCAGTAGCTCAACAGAGCTTATTGGCATTTGTTTTTTAGACCATCTCCAAGAAAAATCTAGTTCTGGAGGGAGACTTAAGTAAAAGCCAGACCAAAATACAGTATAGTAATTTCAAATCATATTTTTATATTTTTATTATCTTGCCTTTTTATTTGTAAATATTAATTAAAAAAAATGAATTCATATTTTTAAAATGTTGTATTAAGATTGTACCGTAATATAAACTATACAAACTCATTTATTTATCAGACATTTTTTCTGAGGAATCCAGACCTACAGTGAGCGAAGCATACTGACCATATGTTTTCCTTGTGTGCGAGTGCAGTCATAACCTATCATTACTCAAGTTTTCTTACTGGCTTTTCTTCCGGTTTTATTATTCTTTTTAAATCATTTGCACTTGGAAGCAATGTCATGAGGCAAGAGTAGCATGGGTAATGCAGATAAGGTTGAGGGGAACTTTCTTATTATGGATAATAAGGTAAAGGTATTAGAAAAATGTAACTGGATTGGAAGAAAAGCAGCTGGGACAGAAGTATGGCAATGTACTAGTGGTGTTTCTGACAAAAAATAAAGGGAGAAGATAATATAGGTAGTGTGTGAATAAAATGGCAAGCAATGATGGAAGGAGAACTGATAAAAAACATTGCAACCATAAGCATGAGGATTTAGATGATAGTATTTATGAATTATATATGCAGCACTCTAGCCTGGGACTGGCCGTTGGTGAACAGTTAGATAGTCTCCACCTGAAATAATGGCACTACCAATATACATTGAAGATTTCAAGACCAGTTGAAGGTAACTGCAGAAGTTTAACAAAATGACAAGACATAGTACTACAGTATAACTGTATTTTGCTGCATGTGTGTTATCAATGTGTGCCCATGCCAGTGAATGTCAAGTGAGCAAATTTTTTGGCATAATTATTATTGAACAAATCCACAGGAGCCTTGATGAGAGTTCGAACCTATGTCCCGAGTGTTTCCAGACATGCTCTTGTCAACTGTACCACAACATGGTAAAAGAATTGCAACTTGGAGCGCTACTGCCCCTACGAGGTTCCCAAGGCTTCCACTGAAGCCTAACCAGGATTTCACACAATTCCCCTATGCACTCGGGCTCTGTCAGCCAATAGTACTACCTCTGACGCTCCTACTTCAATACACTTAGAACTCACATTAACGTGATATATCAAAGAACAAATCCATAGGCGCCTTCATGAGGGTTCGAACCTATAAATGTATTTGAAAATACAAGTACTGTGACAATTCATGAGGAGCACTATACAAAATGTCTTATGAAGTGGTGGGGTGCTGCTGTGAAATGATTGCTCGAGTGTGGTGGGGCTTCTTTATCCATGATGCTATATATTGTGAATGTTATAGTGAATGTATGTGACAATTAACACATTTTATAATTTAATATCTTTAACTTTCTTTTACATATTATTCACGTTTATATAGGCTAATGCTTCCCCATCCTCCAAAAAGGTAGGAAACAAGATAATGCTAATATATTTACAATATATATAGTATACAGGTACTGTATTTCAACACAATTTGTAGTAGAACTTTATTATGTATAAGTAACAACATTATAAATTAAATACTTAAATAAAACATTGTGACTAGACAAGAAAAAATTTCAAATCAGGGTTGTGTACTTTTCCTTTCATTTAATGCTGCTGTTTCCCTAGCAGTAAATAGGTACCCAGGAGTTAAGTCAAGCTGCAGTTGGGTTGCATCCTAGGGAAGGTGAATAGTTCAACCATGAGGGGAGCCTCGATATAAGCCTAACATACATATATATACACAGGCTGCCTGTCCCCCAACAAAACAAATTATTAAAATATTAGTCTTTCTATTAACTTGCAGCAAAATACCTCAGCTTGTCCCAACAGCTCAAAAACTTTAGCTTATGGTGACTGCTATATACATTTTGTGAACAACCTAATTCTTTGACGATAGGGTTCAAATTTAAAAGAATTCACTATTTACCTGACATCCCAGATGAACACTCTTCTCAGTTATACTTCTAATTTTACAATGCCACTCACCTGAGACAGTGGACCATCTCCTGAATCCAGGGGAGCCTGAAGTCTAAACTTGATACTCTCAAAGATAACTCGAAATCGAGTTCCAAATTTTTCTTCATACGGCCATATCAGGCTTTCATCCCTTAGCTCAACACTGCCATTCTCCCCCTCAGAACGCTGTTGAGAGACAACAATAGATGTTAATTTCCTTTTAAGCAATAAAGGTTGGTAGCTCATTTTTCAATGAAAGCTCTTAAAAGGTTATTAACCCTGGATATTACATCTATGCAAATATTAGACAGCTGACAAGAACAATGCTAAATAAAATGACTTAAAGCATATCTTGTGCTGATTATTTAAATTGAGATTCTTCCTAATCTATTCCACTTGGATTCTATCAAAGGCAAACTCATTGAATGTAGCAGTAGATAGGATCATGGCAGATAAGGCAGGGTGATATTTTGCACCGATGCAGCAGGCACTTTTCTAAATCCTTGCCGAGTCATACTGGTGCATATCAAGATATATCAAGATAATCACTTCTGCAGGCCCTTCTCCAGATGGGTTTTTCCTTAGCTATGGGCAGCTGTCTTTCCCCCCTTCTCCATTCACATGATTTTGGACAAGGAGTGATTGGCATAACTCATTCCCTTAGATTCAGTTTAAGCTCTTACCAGTGGTGAGCACTCCTCCTAGTAGAGAATAATCATTGATTACTGGGGATCAGCAAACTCAAAGCTTCTTTCCTGTGGGTTTGGGACATGTTCAGCATTTATAGGTTTGGTGTCTTTAAATCCCAAACTACCAGTGTAGGTAGTTTGGGAAACATCATCACTTCTTTGGGTGATGATGTTTCTCAGCATCACCCAAGGAGGAGCACTTTCTTATTCAGCACCTTAATTTGTTGCTCCTCAAAGTGCATCATACAGTCTACCACCACAGTCCACAGCACCAAGGGATCCATCTCTCAGATATGTCACAAAGTGGTTCAGGTGAGTTACTTGTAAGCATTTTCTAAAGAATAATCTTTGGAGGTTAGAATAAAAGACATTTTTTGGTGATGTCTGACCTTGGGGCTTCAGGGTTTCTCCAATCGGCCCTTTGCCACCTTCAACCTTCTAGAATTCCCAGACAGTGTGTACATTTGGAAGACTCTCCTCCAGTTAAGATCTTCTGCACCTATCGGAGACTTAGGTGTCCTGTAATAGCTCTTTGAAGAACAACATCTATTGCTTACCCTTTGCCTTCTAGAACTTCACTTTGTAACTAAGGTTAGCATTACCCATTTACATTCTGTCATGTTGTTGGCAACTTGCATTAATCTCACTATATGAAGCATGCAAGTGGAATGAGGTCAAGTGAATATGAAAAAATAGTTTCCGAGCCTACCATTCAGACAGTTTTAATTTCTGTCACTGAATTCCTGATTATTCTCTGCACAGATTTTGTTTTCCTTGCATACCACAGACTGTGATAGAACTTATGGCTGGGAATCTAATTTTTGCTTTGACTCTGCCACCTGGTGGGAGTTGGAGGTAGTAGTCAGGTGAGAAATTAGTGGTTTTATCCAAGTGCTACTCGGTAGTCTCTGTGACGATAAGTAGGGTTTGGTAGGGCTTTGAGTATTTACAAGTGAACTTTCTGTTCATAGATTGCATGGGATAGATTGATTATTTCTCCAGTGCCTCAATAACAATAGTATGTCCTGGAAAATGATGTTTAAAAATATCCTGATGTGCCAGTTCAGGAGGAGGGCACCCTGTTCACTGGGGCGTTAAATGTCATGCAGAGCAGCTTTTAATGTTCACTCAAAGCCTGATTTTTTTTTAATACTGAAAATGGGCAAGAAAATATATAATTTACTTAGTAATCTAAAATTAATCTATGATAAAAACTAAGAATATAATCGTTGGAATATGGTAAAATTATCATTTCTGTTCTTTGAAAAAATTGAATAACAAAGCATAATAAATTTCAAATCAGCTATGCTTAGGTTTTTTGAGAAAGATATACTGTATATACGGTACGGTAATTTTATGAATTAAACAAAAACTATCTGTCTAAACTGTCTAAATTTTCATTAAATCAAAATAGATGAAAGGGGATAATGGAACTAGAAATAATGATGATGATCAGATAAATCTTATACCAACTCATTATTATTATACCTTAAATCCAATCTTTAACTGAAAATACTCACCGGGAGATTTGGATAGCATGTGAAGAGTTGATGTCTGTCTTCTCGTCTTGCTTGTGCAATGGAAAAGTCTGTCTCGTGGGCATATTTAATAAGCTGAGGATTAAGACTATGCTCTAAACCTCGTAAAGTTCCATAGTTACTCGATGGAGGTGTTGAGCCTGAAAAAAAGTTTTCTATAATGAGGCCGTGTGTCTTCAACAGCTTAACATGCCAAGATAAATTCTTCATGCCTACATTTGAAAATTGTGTATTTCATAATAAAAAATTGTTTATTGCAACCAATCAAAGAAGGCATCTTTGTCTTAGTGAATACGCAATGTGGGTAGTATGAATTGCAAAAATTAAAAAGAAAAAATTGTGACAGTCAAATACTGTACATCAAGTTTATGGATGTTTACCTGCAGCAAACTATCGTTTGCCCTGTTTTCGTAATTTTAATGTCTTTCTTTGAAGTGGTACTTTATTTTGTTTTGCCAACCTTTCTGATTGGTTTTCAGTTTTGGTTAGACCTTTGATCCACAGGCTCCTCCTTACCTCATAGAGAGAGCCAGATTCTGGGCCTGACTTCCAGATGGTCAGGAGCAATCCTTAGATTTAGCAGTACTAGGGAGTTACTGAGGGGCCTTCTCAGAAATTATACTAAAATGTATTACAAAAAGCAGCATTTTTTCAACTAGACTATCAAGCATACAACATTTTTATTTTATTTATCCGAAAGTGCAAATACGGCATATACAAACAGACACATATACCCTCTACAGTATCACAAGGACATACCATAATATGGTAGGTAAAATGCAATTGGGAAGGCCTGCCCACCCACAGAAACAGGAACTACAACCAGCACACAGATAGGGAAGAAGCTCACACGAGACAACTCCAAGCATGAATTCATGAGGAGTGACCACAAGATCTTTTATACAAGTTTTCCATTCTCCCTAGGAAAGAAGATGCTCAGTCAAGTATGATGTCATACTGCACGACTCTAAAGGGAATTTGTTATTATCTCTGCTGGGGTCATATACATGCTATCGAGTCACGAGAATAATCAATCCAGCCAAGAATCACAGAAACAAACATTTTCTAAAAGTATTCAAAACATTTCTTTTATCAAAGCAGTTCTGAATCAGCCAGAAGCAACATGAATTTGTACAAATGTTATAGAAAAAATACAATAAGATTTAAACTTAAGCTGCTGTTGCTTCTACTGGCCCACTAAATTTGTATATTAGTGCAAACCTCATAAATGAGCCAATGATAGAGTTAGATACTGGGTGCGTTATCCAGTATCACAAGAGAAAAGTATAACAAGAAATCCCATTTTCAAAGAATGAAACAAAATAAGGAAACAATTTGGCTGAATGTTTAGTAGGGAGTTAATAAGTGATCAGGTTGTCCATGTTATAAAGTGTACAAGGTACATACATAACATATGAAAATGTTAACAAATTAAAATGTAAAATGTTTATCTGTTGCTGATCATCATCACTCAACCTGAACACGAAAATTTAAGAGAAATACTATTACAAAACCTGAATGTTTCAAAATTTGAAATTTAGGGGTTCTGTTATTATTAAGGCAGAACACTGTAATAATAATAAAGCATCTCACTGGTAGCAGTGTTAGAAAACCAGCAATTCTCATAATATTACACTTCTAGCTGACCTTTTACCCCTAGGCATGATTATGTTCCCAAGGACAACATCATTTATCCAGTATAATCTGCCTTTATATCTTACAAATAAAAATCACACCTCTTTCTGTTCTGGATTCATCCAGAGGTTTGTCAGCATGAATAACACGGGTGAGTTTATCCATCCAGTCCTCTAAGTCAGCCTCACTCTCTGCAGATAACAAGACAGATTTTCCACACTCAGACATATGTAGCTCAAAGCAGCACTTCCCACGGCGTGGATTCTGAAACAAAAAAAAAATTTAAATGTCATGAAGGGGTTATTACACAATGATACACAACTTGAGTAAAATGAAAATACAAGGCACACACAAAGTGGGTTGCAAAATTTTACAAGAGGAAAATATTAGAGGAATGAATTCCAAATCTGCACATGGAAATAACTCCATACAAGACAAGGAGTCATGGCAGCAAGTACAAAATAGCCCTATTGAAAAGTAAAGATGCAATAGGTACATTAAGAGAATTCTGTCAACATCAAGGGCCCAAGACTGTTCAAGACACTCCATTTAAACATAAGAGGAATAACTAGCCGACCTCTCATGGTGTTCATAATAGAACTCGATGAACTCCTCCAAAGGACACCTGTTCAACTGGGCTGATTCATACCTCAAACTGTGAGGAGCTACGTCCAACAGTTTGGTTGAATAGGCCACCAACCAAAAGGTTTGGTTAGTGACCAGACCACAAAGACGTTGATAATACTTGGAACCACCATAAGGTAACCACAAGGTAACCTCAAGATAATGTACTTTTTCATCCATACATCCTAGCTGATCAAGAATCCTGTATTTTCCAATCTTGATTCTTAACACAAGCAAATAGAGACTGCTTCACTTTTTTGATGCCCAAACTAGCACGAGAGATTCTTTGGCACAAGTTTCTAGTGCTATTTTTAGACTTAGTATTTGAAGGCATTTTAAATATCAAGAAAAGATTCTAACGAGATCATTCCATGAAGGAAAGGAAGTTCCTAGAAGAAAAAAGACAATTGAGATATATACAGTAGAGGACATAAAATACCCTGCAAACTGTGCCATGAGAATTAAAGCACACACTCAACACTATAAACTGTGAACATTAAAATATGAAAGATGATAAGTAAAAACAAATGCTTTATATAACTTAGGATGTGGGAATGCCAAGACAAAAATATTTAGCATATCTACAAAAGCCATATAAATATATATATATAGGCAATGGTGTGCAAAATATAGATTCAACACACAATGAATATATACTTTGTGAAATATCAATATTGTACTCACTTTAGATATCTGTGTGCAAAAATCCATTACAATGGTCCCTTTAGGGTCATGTTTTCTTTCATCTTTGTGAAACTCCAGTAGGTAAGTACCATCAACTTCTTGCCTAAAAATAAAAACTCACTGATACATTTAACATTGGTATACAGTTTATCTAAAAAGTAAACAAATAATTCTCATCAGAACAATACTGTTAAGTAAGTCTCAAAAAGCATTGTATTGTTTAAAAGTCTGAAAAGAACTGTCTTGTATAAAAATCTAATAAAAGCACTTAAAGTCTTTATCATTTATATACAAATGAATCCACACTCTCTTCCCACCTGTGGCAACCGCCACTGTTAAATACCTCATATTTTCAGGCAATTAATTATATATTTCTGGTAGGTTCTCTCAAAAGCTTCCCTCAGCTTATGGCACCTACACATTGGGCCACATTCAATATACTGTACCTAACACCTGCAACTATATTTACCCACTGGAGGCAAGAATCACTTCAAATGTTCTGTCTTGCCTCCTCAGAATGGGTGGGGAACATTGAGGATCATACATCAACTCAACATATTCCATGCACTATGCCATCACCAATCCATCTGTTTAGGCAGTGACATGCACGTTTATATTACCACTACCACCAATGCTTCCACCACAATCAACACTAGTACAATATAACACCACCACTCCCACCACAAATAGTTAAAATTCATATTGGCATTACTTTTATCAAATTAATAGTTAATTCCACCTTATTTACTCTACTTGACAACAGTAAGACATGTACAGTAATTATATCTACCAGTTCTATCATAGCTTGCACCATGATCACTAATCTTCACCTCACTAGTGTATGAGCACCAATAGCATCTGATCAGTAAAAATCTAATATGATACAACAGTCTTTATACTAGAATTGGTCTATTGTTGCTGAAAATTTGGTCACTTTGGCAACTTAAAAATTGACAGTGAGGTGTAGATTGGTGCCTGCCAGCACACCAATTGTCTTAGTCCTCTCAGTCTTCCTCTCACAGCTGTTGGTCACTTGTTTCATCTGACGCCTAATATCCATGCAAGTACTTGCAATATATTTCTATATATTTCTCTTCGTCACTTTGCAAAAATTGCAGAGACTTTGCAATCTTGCATGACATCAATAGTTGCTTGTATGGTAGAGTTGAGTACACAACTGAGTTGTAAGATAGTGCATTAACCCTTGCACTGTGCAAGAGCTACAAGATACATTATTTGTACATGGACATAATAACAGTATTCAAAGCAAGGCTTTTGTCTCCCTATATTGTTAAAAGCCATGTCCTGAGCATAGTAATAATGTCCCAAAAATCTTTGTCACTTATCAAGATGTCAGATGTTTACTAGAATCCTCAAATACAAATTGGGGCCACAGTGCAACACTGGAAATTTCAAATATTGCAAAGTACCTAAAACATTGCATAATGTGATGTGCACTAACTGTTAAACATCATATGTCATGAGCAGTCAAATGTTAACTTACTAATGGCCAAGGAAGGAAACTAGAACTTATAATTGTTCAAATATTGTGCATGAACTCATGCACAGGAACGGAATATGTAACCATACACCTGCCTCAACTTATACACAACCCACACTGGGTAAAACTGTCTGCAGACAGTAAGCTCAATACACTTTATTATTATTATTTTTTTATAACTGTGGCAGTGCAAGGAATAATAATTTACCAAATTGAGAAATTACAAAACTGTTGATAATCCAACCACATCTCACCCCTCACTGCCAAGCAGCACCTCACCACACTGTTCACTGAAGGGGACACCACTACACTCGCCTGGCACTGTATTCCATGTGTCATTCCTATCGCTGTTTTATCAATCAGATAAGTGGATCAGCCTTCCTTTTGGACTTCAGTTCTAGCATTAAGGGGAACATACCATTAAAATTTCACAAACATGTATGCTTGTTTCATTAAGTATCCCTAGATATCTGCAGTCTCAGAACTTGTTTCAGGGTTCCCATTCCTGATACAGCTAGCAAAGACCATTAACTACCAGAGCTATTTTCTCCGAGGTTTTTAGATAGTTCTTTAGGAATCTTCCTCTCAAGTCAATCCTGTACTGGTTAATGACACAGAACTTGGTTGTTGATGAAGAGCCTGCAGAGGTGAGTTACTTTTGTGTAAATGTGTTTGTTGTGCTCAGGTCTGACTCCTGCAGCAGTTGGATCCTTCCACTTTTAGCCAGGTTGCACCAAAGAGTAGTGTTCAGTGAATTTAATTTTGTACATGGCTACTTACACCTAATAATGAACACCAGGTAGGCTTACAGGGAGAACATGCTTGTTGGTATACTGCATTATGTTGAATAGGAACCAGCAATCAATTTTCTAGGCTAAGTATTTCATTCGCTATCACCTTGGCCTTCTGAAGGAAATAAACAAATAATTTGGGTCCCAAACTCAATCCCCTTGCAATACTATACGGTAAGTGAATTAAATTACTATACAATACCTAGTTTTTCTTCAACCACATAAATTTAAAGCAAAACATTTAACAACACAAAAACAACTTACCTTAAACATGCAAATCTCCTCTTAAAAGTCTTGGAAGAGAAATTACCAAAAATCTTCTCATTGCCACTTTCAGGACCTTTTAGGAGATACCCCTTCTTTAAAATATTCTCACCATTAGTCAAAATAGCCTGAAAAATAGAAAACAAAAATTAAAATTGTATACCATTTACAAAATTTCAAATACAAAATCATGCAGATACAGCAATATAATGCTATAGACTTGAATCGCATAATATCAGTAACCCGTTTCCCACTTACAAGGGATGGGGAGGAACTTCAGAGAAAACAAGGGAGCAATATAGAAGACAAAAGGTTAATGCTATGCAAAATGACACCTATAGGTGGAATTTCAAAATTCATACGAGTAACAGAGAAAATGTTACTCGACTGAATTTCTTTCTCTAAGGATTTGGGATTTGGTTACCACACTTGTCCATGATACTGGCCTATAAATTAGTGGGTTTTCTCTGTTAATGCCTTTGTAGATTGGGACTATATTTGTCTTTTTCCAAATGTCTACTAGATTCCTTGTTTATAAGTATGTCTGAAAAATAGTCTCTAGAAGAATACTAATCTCGAGAATACATTTTCTTAGAACCCAGAGTGAAATTATATCTAGCCTGGCTGCTTTATTTCTGCCTACCTCATGAGCAGTCTGTTTTGCATAGTCTTTGAAACATATATGTGCTCTAAATTATGCTCTTAAATTCTTTTTTACACCAACACATGGTGAAAGTGTTTATTCTGGGTATTACACAGCTCCTCCTCACTCGGTGTATCTGTTACCCATGCTTCATCTCTTGAATTTTATTCTTTGTATTCAATTTGCTTTTAAAGAACTTGTTAAAGAAGTTGGGTTTCATTTTGCAATTATCTGCTATCCCTTTCTCAAAGCTTTTATCCTCCCTTCTCATTGCCATGTACTTGGTTCATGCATGTGTGTGTATTGTTCATATGTCTGTAGCTCAGGCCTCTTTCTATATTGATTCAATTTTTATTTTTTTCATCTCTTTCCCAATAACAATTTCTATTGGATAGGTCTTGCCTTTGAATTCTGTGTGTGTTTGTTTTGGTATGAAAGTTTGCGTGTCTTCATGTTAGATCTCTTAATTTTTTTCCATACATCTGTTTATACCCTCACCTGACAATAAACCTCCCCAAACAATTCATTGCAGAACTTGCTTAGTTCCCATTAATATCCTATTTTGAAGTAAAGTTTCTCTCCTATCTCACCTTTGGTTATCTCTTCTGCATTATACTGAATTGTGTGATATCTAATAGGATGCAAACATTTTTACATAATGGAGGCATTTATGGAAAGTCAAAGAATGCTTTGAATTTCCTGTTAAATACCAGACCAAGAATTGTTGGGACATCCCTTCCATTTTTCTTCTGGCCTGCTCAACATGCTGATGCATAAATGTCTTCAAGATGAGGTTTACAAATCTGCTAGTCCACATCTTCTATTCCTGCCTCATTAAGCCTCGCAATCTATTGATTTTTTAACAAATTTACCAAACTGCAACAATCTTGCCTTATTTTCTACACTATTACCATCTCTCTAATGATCATTATAAGACCCTTCCATTTGTTATCAAGTTACTCCCAAGTCCACGAGTTATTTGCTGGTGGCCTGAAAGAAATAATTATTCATTACCTATCTTGTTTTAGATCAACACTGCATGTATATCACCAACTTGTGAGTTGTCAAGCATTAAGTATTTTATGTTTAATAGTTGTTCTTTCCTCAGTTTTAGCTGCATTACATTATTTAGCTTTATTTTCTTCATCCCATCTATATTTAAAACAAAATTTTCACAAACTCACAAACTTGGTTTATCTTTTTGGAGTCCACTTTCCACTTTTCTCTAATGTTTTTAATGGTTAGCTCCCTAACCCCATCCCTTTGTGGAAATTAAATGTAATGATTATACCAAACACGTCATATAGAGTATCTACCCTTGTGTTGAATTGGTCAGCTGTTACCATCACCATTATGATGATGGGAGACCAGGAACTAAGGATGTCTGTCTTTAAGGTGTTTGTGGATCCCCATGACTGCTGGAAGATGCCAGTAAACTAATGGGACTATATGGACACCATCAGCATTTAAACAATGGTACAAGTCATAATGGTCATATGATGATGACTGCAGTCACACAGGAAATCAATACATGACAATTGGAGAGAGTAAAAGCTAATGAAGTTGCAGCTAAAGAGAGTGGTATAACAAAATATATATGATAATTAGGAAAGATACATAATCAGAAAACCTTCTGTATTTACATAGTTCTAGAAAACCAGGAAAACAGAGAGAAGACTTTTTGTGAGTAAAAGCAACAAGGTTCCTTGATTCAAGGTAGGTAACCCAAATAAGCATACTTACAAGGTCCCCTTGTTCAATGTCAGTGTCTACTTCATAAACTTGCTCTTTTAGATCGTCCACACGAGGTAATCTAGAAAACGAGATATTACTATTAAAACGTATAGAACGTACATTGTACATTGTAAACGTACATTGAACCTCACAAGGTGAAAGTGACATTTTCAGCCTGCATTGCTCTATTACCTGCAAGCACCTAAGACAATATATTTTTCTTCTGTTTTGCACTTTTTGGATTACAATTTTACATATTAGCATCATACAAAAAATGTTGTAACATCTTTTGAACTCCAAGATGTTCCCGTGAAGAATGAAAGGTAATGTTGAATAAGAACAAAATTTGAAATACTCAGAAAGGTGGAAGCTGGGAAGCCAATGTTACTGCCTGGCTTTGTGCATTAGTGGTTAGGAAATGGTGGGAGCATATAAAAATAATGATTACTCAGGTATTTTATTAATAAACAAATAGATTAAGGGTGACTTGGGGAAGGACATACATAGTACGTATGCTTTTCAACTCACTATCCCAAATTCTGGAATTGAATCCAGAGCAGGACAGAAATGGTTGGGTGCATTTCTATCACCTAATTCGCCCGTTCACTTAGTAGTAAATAGATACCCAGGAGTTAGTCAGTTTGCAATGGGAATGCATCCTGGGGAGGGTCTGTAATTCAACCATGAGGAGGATCTCAATATAAGCCTAATGTGTATATATATATATATATACACACTGGTTGCTCGTCTCCCAACATAATGAATCGTTTATTATTATTATTTATTAGATTTAAGAAAATTTAACATTTCATAACAAGTTACTTAAAAATATTTGAACATAATTGAAATATTTGTGCACATAAGTTACGGATACAAAGTTGAAAGATATATTTGATCAAAATAAAGTTGATGATCAAATGTCAGAGAAGCAAAACACTAAACTGTACAAAAATTTTCAAATCAAAAGCTATTCTGGCTTGGAACATAATAGACCCCCCCCCCTTTAAAATTAATGAGACATGAATGGAAATTAATCATACCTTGGCAAATGGAGATAAGAGCCGGAATAAGGTAGATATTTGTGCGTAATGGTAGTCAGATCTTGTGAGTATGTTGCAAGGCACTGCCGCACTAGAGGATTTGTCACTTCCTCTTCAAGATGAACAGCAGCCAATGACTGTAACGTTCTTGTAACCCGACGAACAACACAGTGCTGTGAAAATAAAACATCGAGTGAAACGAAATGCTCTTTGGATGTTCTCCAATGCCTTATGACACTGGCCTTTGTAGGACACAGAATTTATGTGAAGCTCTGCATTTGACCTTATGCCTGATAGAGGCCAGTTTCTTCAGAAACACTTCAAATAACCCCAAAATTCCCTATAAATGATCTTTGAACCATTTGAATATCGACAAGGATCTAATGATGGTAACCTTACTAGTTCGCACTGCTATCATACAAACAAGTCAGTTGAGGTGGCATGCCTAACATAGCCTAGCTAAGATCATGCTCTGGCAAGGAGGCATATAAAGGGTGGAAATGGGGAGCTACCAAGGTGCCATTCAGAAAGGGACATTTCATTTCACTTAATGGTATATTTTAAAGCTAGGCTCCCTTGATAGCTTCTCAATGCCTTCTTACAGTGCTAGAAAATTATTTGCAGAACAAATAACAGAAATGGGGACTTACCCAAGGAAGCAGCAGCTTTCAGCAAAGGAAGGGCTGTGGTGAAAACATCACACAATACAAGGAACCCCAATATCCAGATCCCCCATTTTATGGATTCTCAAGATAACCTTAAAAATAAAGATAAAAATCTAGTTCTCCAACCAATTTTTCCCAAAATGTTTGGTAAATGGAAATCAGCCCCCATGATCAGGAATGTCTCGCTGCAAGATGCACAGGCAAGTCACCAAACACCCGTTGCCTCTGTTCACCTAGCAGCAAATAGGAGCTTGGGTGTTAGTCGACTGGTGGGGTTACATCCTAGGAAATGGCTAAATGTTGCACATATCCCAGAACATACATACATACACATGTCATACCTAATAGCTAGAATCACAGTACTTGGCCTAGTAAGCAAGGGCCTAATTTTCTTAACAAGCAGAGTGATTTTCATTATTTTTAAATTAGACAAAAAAATTAGACAAGATTAGACAAAAAATTCAAATTTTTTGCAAAACTCTAAAAAAAAGTGGAAAACACTGCACTTAGTTTTACACTTTGGGGTTTGGCCTTGCGTTGAGAGCCACAGCCTTGGCCCATCGTTTTGGCCATCTCTCTGCATGGGTAAGCCTTTGCTGCCTCTGTATTTTGTATTATATAGGTTTACATTTCAGGTCTTACAGCCTTCTCTGGCAAGGGTCCAGTGGAAGATAACATAGTGGAGCTACTGAGGAGGTCCTCCCAGAAAACCAGCATTGAATAAGATTAAATGTTTTATTTTAGTGGTTTATTCAGTAGCTCCTCATTCCCACCTGTCCTCCTCCTTTCCCCGTGAAGTTGGGGAGGGGCTGGTTATGGGTGGCTCGTGAATTGGTTGGCTGGGTGCTTGCGTTACATAGCTACCATCTGGTGGCATCTGAGTGTAACTCAGTGGTGATATTGCCACAGTAATGGTTGCTGAATTCTTATTGTCAGGTTTACAGCATTTTCCAAGCAGTTGTTTGTTTTGGAGTTTCCTATTGTTTTCTGATGATATTTTCTTGGTTATGTGTTGCTTTTTATCTCCAGGCTCCCCTTTGCCTCTCTGAGAATGCCACATTCTGGTCTTGGTTACCAGTAAGTACTAATGGGTCCCTAGAGGTCTGGTGTGTTCAATGCTAGTTGTTTCCAGGTTGTAGCATTAAGGAGCAACTGAGGGTGCCCTCCCAGCAAAAATTACAGATGTACTTACCGAGATATCATCAAGAGGATACATAAGGAGCTCCCTCAAGGTATCATTATTCAGCATCACTTTATTTTTAGAAACAAATTCTTCAAAGTCTATGGGGTCTGCCAACCGTGGTTTGACCTGAAATATAACAAAAACATTCAAAGAATATTGTGCTGTACATTAATATTGAAGTAATAACTGAAACAAATTTGAAAAGGAGCAAGAGGCTCAAGCCAGTTTAAGATTTCGAGTTAATGTGAAAAGTACCTCTTTCAGCAGCCTTTTGGTTTCTCCCAAAGCTAAGAAAGACATGTGTCATAAACAATAATTCCTGAATACTCAGGTAGGGCAATATTCAGAGCAAGGCACCACATGGATCTTTAAAACAGTCATGCAGGGTAATATAAAATGCAAAAAATAATTGGAGGAAAGTGCAATTCAGCTCAGAATATCCATCAAAAGATACATTCATGAGGATCAGAGTGCTATCAAATTTTGTCTTGGCATAAGTAAGCCAATCCATGTCAGTTGGGGGTTTATACATAGGTAGGCATAGAAAAGGTTAAGAGAAAAAACCTTTCCTTTCCTAAAATTAGGAAAAGTATTTTGGTTACATTGATTTAGGAAGTATTCACATTACAGGCTGGAAATGAAAAGTACTCTAAAGTCATAGCTTTGAAAAAGTCAGATTGACAGATGTACAATATATAAACTTAATCAACTTTAATTGTAGATATTTTATATATAAATATTGTGAACCCTTTGGCCCTTTGGTTTGATGTTGAGCTATGTAAGTGATGGCAAACTGAAGCTTCACAACTATTCCTTTGCCTCCCTAGCCAGACCAATTACCCACCACAGCAACAATACCTACATGTGATGAATGCTCACCAGGCAGAGACAGATCAATAGATGAAGGCACCAGAATCAAACCATGTTGTGGACAGAGAACCTAATACAAAACATAAGGGGTCCTGGTTTTACAGTCAGGTTCGTTCTCAACTCACAATCGAGAATTCCGGGTTCGACTCACAGGCGGGACATAAATGGTTGGGTGCATTTCCTATCACCCAATGAACCTGTTTACGTAGCCATAAGTAGGTACTTAGGAATTAGTCAGCTTGTTGTAGGGTTGAATCCTGGGGGGCAGTCAGTAATTTAACTTTGGGAAGGACCTCAATACAAGCCTAACATGTAAAAATACACTAGCTGCCTGTCCCAACACAATAAGCTATAATTAATTATAAGACGTATCAACAGTAAATGCACCGTGATACTGTAAGGGAGCCACAGACAGGACCAACTGGGAAATAGTAGTAGTAATAATTTTGCTTACAAAATATACATAAGAGCATCTGTATCAGGCATAAGTAGGCAAGACCATCCTCCAACATGTTCAACATCTTGGCAAATGTAGCCTGCTGGTTCTCCAAATGAAGTGAGCCATTTGGAAGTCAGACACCTCTGACAAGTCACTCTGGGCTGGAGTAAGCTTTTCTCCAGTGCCTTTCGAGCACTTTATGTGATCCTACAGCGTTGTATAAAAAGACCCCTGTGGCACTGGTTCTACTTGGTAACTGTTTATGAAATATATCAATAACACAGATGATTCTTACCTTAGGGAATAACCAAAGGCTATTTGACAGCTCAGAAAGTGACCAACATTTGTTTCCTATCAGCACAACTCACAATGACTATTTAATACAGCCATGGATCCCTTTTAATTTCTTGATTAAGCAATATTGTTTCCAACTAACCATTACAAATATTGTATTAAAAAGCAATGCATTGGACAAAATAAAGTGTATTTTAATCACAGATAATATTTACACATTTACTATGGGAAAGTGTTACCTGAGTAGCTGTTGCTTTTACTGCCTGGGACACATTCTCTCGCACTTGAGCAGCCATACCCGGCTTGCCCAAAGCACGGGTGAATCTACGCTCTGCCATGATGCCTAAAAATTTAAATATAATTTTACAGAATTAAATACAGTATTTAACATCCTGAAGTGATTAATAAAAAGCTTCAATATGGAAAATATTTTAATTTCTACATGTCTTTGATATCACATCATTGCCTCTGAGAGCAATGCATTATATACTGTAAAATGCAAAACACAAAGATTTGATTCAACTTAAAGATTAAGATATTTTTGAAGTAGCACTAGGTTAGAATTATTTGAATGTACCATATACAGCAGATCTTTAAATAATACACATCAGATCTTTAAATAATGCTATCGTGTGTACAGTCCATCCGACAGGGGTATGGTAAACTCTTACAAAGACATTTCAACGAAGCTCAGCTTCCGATTATCAAAACTGTATATTGTTAGGTTAGGCTGTGTTAGGCTCATTTGGGTTATCCTTCTTTCAGGATACTGTATCTTAAAGGGTTTAAACCTCCTGTGTGTAGCCTAGTCTTCTATGCTACAACAGTTTTAATTCTGAATTAAGATCTTTATGCTTCTGCACATATCTGGTCCCGCACCAGAATTTAATCCTGGATCAATCAATTATAAGCCTACTGAGGTACAGGTGATTTACTAAATCTAGAATAACAACTAAATGTCAGTAATGAAATATTGACAAATACAGTATATATATATTATGTATATATATATTATATATATAATGTAAAACTGTTAATCTTTAGGTTTTAAAAAGTTAAAACTCAAACAATTAAACTGTAACAAAATTTTTAATGGAAGAGTGTTATGAAACGAAATAGTATATGCAAGAGACTATATCTTCACTTTCAGTAATCAAGAATGATACAACTAACGTTATTCACGCATCATATTACACTTCGCATGTCATAAGAAAGTGCAAAAATGTAGTGAAACTCGCTCCTCAGCACAAGTCGGCCATGAATTAGGGTTGGGTGGGGCACTTAGGTAATTTTCGCACGTCTAAAGAAACATTTCTCCAAATGTTATTTATGTAATTTTTTCTTACAAACTTCCTGAAGGAAGAAGAAGACTAAAACTCGAAGCTAACTTACCGAGTAGTCAACTACGAGGTATATTGAGTAGATATATGAGAGCTCCTGGGTTCTGGCATTGCTGTTGTTTACATTGTTGAAACTGGTCGCTTATGATAAAAAAACTGGACCTGTTTAACTTGTGTGCGCCTAGTTTAGTTTCTACCACAGACGTCCTTATTCAATTACCATGCTGACCAGCATATATGCTCTTACGTCTGTCCTTTATGTACAGAGTTACAGAACTGTTACACTATATAGCGTAGCGGTTTCTTACTAAGCGCTCATCTTGTAATTGATCTCGCAGATGGCCCACAGAGCATGGCAGCGCTGTTGGGTATTTCACCCTGATGTAACTGTATTCAGCAATTGAATTATGTTACGAGCTGGATGAGGTCTTCGAACAGTGATTGCTTTGTGTGTGTGTTCTGTAAACCGTAACGCAATGTAATAAAATTAATCAAATAAATAAATATTATATATAACAAAAAAGTATGGGTAGTAGAAGAAAATATTAAAGTATTCAATGAAGTAGAGAATGGAACTATCAGGAGAAAGCACCAAGCCATTAAGGTTATATATAGTACTTGGAAGGGATCAGGATAAGGATTTAGGATGGAACGGGGAGGAAGGAATGGTGCTCAACCACTTGGACGGTCGGGAATTGAACGCAGACCTGTATGAAGCGAGACCGTCGCTCTACCGTCCAGCCCAAATGGTTGGGCGAAAGTGTTAGATGAGAATCTTTGAAAAATCCAAGACCTTGAATGTGGGGCATAACAACCGACGTCACAACTGTCAAATTAACAACATTGACTTCCAGTAGATTGATGAAGAAAAGGACCTTGAAGTCAGAATCCATCATTCACTGAAAAAGGCTGGTGTGTGGTCGCGGGTTCGACCACACTTTTGTCCGGTCATGATGGTCGAGTGGATAAGGTGTTCTGTACACACCAGTTGCATTGTGCTCCTGGCAGTATGGGTTAGAGTCACTTATGGGGTGTGAGTTTTCAGTTGCAGACAAGTAAAGTATTTATGTGTACGTCTGATACCATACTACTTGTGAAGGAGGAAATATATGTTTATCTCTCAGATTGTTTGGTAATATGTTTATTGTTTGTGATGTGTGTCTATGTATGTATTAACACGATGTACTGAACGGGGTGAGAATAGCTTGAGCTACCTCATCCCTTTGTGTGTATTTTACATCAATAAACTTATTTCAATTTTAATAGAGCGTTGCATTTTGATGCATACTTTATTTACCAAAGGCCAAAAATCTTCGTGCAATTTCGTCATTACAATTTCGCGAGCCGCTAGCGAAACTGACATACTGTCCCGTTTTCTGCTTTGAGTCCTCTGCTAGGATAAAGCAATTTAGTTCGACAGTTTCTTGAGATTAGGAAACCTTAGGAAGACGGGCTGTCTTATAATGAAGCTTGTTTGACCTGGAGGGATCTCGATCCTACCCTGAGTACAGGCTTCATGTCCCAGACAATAGGAATTAAATCAATTGCTGGTTTGGAATCACGGTTGTTTTATGGAACAAATTAGAGTAACATAATACGTTGGATCGACGGATTGTTTAAAAGCATGGGTTAATATTTATATGAATGATTTTGGGTGGATATACTGTATCCATAGGGTCTATACTTGGTATGGACCCATAATACTTTTGCAGTATACTTGAATCATATGCCTAGAAGTTCTAAAATTTAGTTTATTTTGATGTTAGGCGTGTTTGCTTTCTGACATCGTTGCCAATTTACCTACGCTACAGAACAGGTCCAAAACGTGTCCACATTTGAACCAGCTACGTCATTTTTGTGACGTCACACCGCTAGTCTTCGCTTGCTTGAAGAATATGTTAGCAGACTTCTAGATGTTACCACTGCTAGGCTTAGGCTCGGCTACAAGTACCTCTGGGAGTTTGTAACATCTGCTGATGTAGATTTGACTAAATGTAAACTCTATCAGCAACCCATTCGCCAGTTTAGAATAGTACTTTTTGTAACTGTGAACCATCGTACGTACATTGACGTAATGGACAATTAGTTAGTAGAATTCACTTTTAAAGTCCGAAAAAACAAAGCTAAAATCCAAATTTAAATATTTCAAGGACAAGTTTGCATATATATACTATACACTTCGAATACTTCATGTACTTGTGTTCGGGTGCATGTGCCCCTACTTACGTTGAATAGGTATACAGGTATAGTTATTAAGGTCGCTTAACATGTATCCCTGCACATACACATCATAGGCTGGCAACTTAGTTGCAAATTCTGGCAAATGCAGATGGACCTTACTAGCAACCGCGAAGCTACAAAAAAAATCCAGCAGCTTCAGTTGCAAGTTACTAGCAACTGCAGTTGCAAATATTTCATTATTTAAAATAAGTTACATCGCCTGTGGTGTTTGTTTCACCCGAACGCCCAAAAATAAACTATATTAGAATTCAGATAGCATTTATTAGGCATAGAATAGTTAGGTTAGTTTTATTAGCAACATATATACAAAACCTTTTCGTTTGTCAAAATTCAACAGTACCAAATTCTACTAATTGTTCATTGTTAGTATGTATGATGGTTCACATTGTTGCCATAGTCAAAACAGGAGGATGCGCTGCTTCAGTATAAAGGAACACTTCAGTTATGTACGACATGGGTATTTCATACTTTACTATAAATTTACTATATTTGCAACTAATTAAGAGTACCTCTCACACCAGATTCCACCTGGAAATACTCTATTTAGTAAGGTGATCAATATACTTTTCACGTTTGTAACTTGTTAAAAATTTATTCAATGAATATACAATATAATTACTTCTACAAAGATTTCTTAAATGTATAAAACTTAGATCATTTATTACAAATTTTATTTAATAAATATACAGTATAATTATTTCTACAAATATCTCTTAAATGCATAAAACTTAGTTCGACAATTGATCATACGTACAGTTTAGGAATGACATTTATTTCATAGTAACTATTTAATCTTTGTTTCTATAATACTAATTATTTATGGAATTTGTAAATTCACACAAGTTGCCCATAACTGCATTAATCTATATGTTGGTTAAAATTTAAATATTTTAAATTTAGCAAGAAACAATGACAAAATTAGCTAACAGTCGCAAGTTGGCCATGGAATACCACTAGAGTAATGTAATCTTTTATTACAGAGTACAATGTGGTATTCCATGTTCACCGGCCCACCACGGTGAGGTCTGCGACTACGGGCCGGACCAGGGTGATTCGTCCAAAGGGAATCCTACATGAAGAAATCCTTATTAGGGGAATCTTCAAAAAGGATTGCGTCCTTTGTTACGTGGAACCCTAAACCACGAACCTACAATACATAAAAATTTCTCCTTAGAAGAAATTAAAATGTATCGTAGAGGTACTTCGGGATTTCCAGTGATAGCTAGGTTACCATCAGAAATCACTCACCAACAGCAAGCTGATGGTGATATGACGATGACCACCCACAAGGAGTGGCAAGGGGTAGGGACAAAACAAAGGGGTAGGGACAAAACAATGTGGATAGGATACACAGATAAAGTTATAGTGAACATGAGTCCACTGCCTAATGAATAGGCTACAATTACTGCTGAAACCAATACAATTACTTACAAATCAGCAAACAAGTAAGTTGATAAACCAGTGACTTATAAAGCCAAGAGGTTACCAGACCATGCACTGTGGTCAGGTTAAAAATAACTGCCTAATTTTCAGGAACATATTTACTGCTAGGTGGACAGAGGCACCCTGCAGACGTAATTAAATATGTTCAAACGTCTCATCCTGCATGGAAATCGAACCAGACCCTTCAGTTGTGGGGAGACTATACTGAACACTGCATTACATAACACCTTTTTAGTTGTAATCCTCTAAATATAAAACCCTGTCACTAAAAACACCTTCATTTTACTTACAAGATACACGACTCTTAAGCTTCAAATATGGAATCTTAGCTATTGAATATTATGTTCCAGTAAACCATTGCAAGTTGCCAAATTTAGTAGGACTTTAGGTTTATTAGAATGAAGGATAATTAGGATCGATGGGCAATATCCCTTCGGGCAGTCTCATAAGAGGAGCCTCATCGGACAAAACCTCACCAGGAAAAAGGAAGGAATGTATGGATCTGCATAGGACGTTTAGGCTAATTAGAATGAAGGATAATTAGGTTCGATGAGCAATATCACATCGGGCAGTCTCATAAGAGGAGCCTCATCGGACAAAACCTCACCAGGAAAATGGAAGGAATGTACGTTTTGTGTCAGAAGACACGTGGGAGGATAGGGAAGGTAAAGTTTAGTTATATTAGGACAGGATGGATTAGCTTTGCAATAATTTGGTAGGAATAGCATCTAGTTTGGCTTCCCATTTTTGGTGACAGGAAACCTTTTGGGCTTTGAGGGCCCACTAGGCCAGTAACTGAACTAGACGAAGCAATATTAAGCAGAACCTACCACCCAGGTATCTGATCACTGCCAAATTAAGAGGGAAAAAAAACAAGGAAACTTTGTCAAACGTCTCCTCAGGCATGGGAATCGAACCCTGGACCATTAGGTTGTCAACAGACGGAGCTCACAACTGCACAACAGACTATCACAGTCATCTGGGCCCACACCCTAGCGCGTTTTTCACAGACACACCCAGAGGAGTGACTTTCAAGACAAACTCAGACTTCAGTCTTTCGAAGACACACGAAAACCAGTCTTTCACAGACACACGAAAAGCAGTATCTTTCAGACACACGAAGATCAGTGTCTTTTAGAAAACAAAAACCCGACTTTCATACCCACACACACACCCAGACACATCTTATACAGACACTCCCAGACCCGTGTTGTCTATCACGGACACTCCCTGACCCGTCTTTCACAGACACGCCCGCACCCGTGTCTTTCACAGAACCTCAGACCCGTGTCTTTCACTGCCACTTTCAAACCGCCATGTCCTTCACACACACGCCCGCATCCGTGTCCTCCAGACACGCCCATACCCGTGTCCTCCACAGACACGCCCCTACCCGTGTCTTCCACAAACACGCCCATACCTGTCTTCCACAGACACGCCCATACCCGTGTCTTCCAGACACGCCCATACCTGTCTTCCACAGACACGCCCATACCCGTGTCTTCCACAGACACGCCCATACCCGTATCTTCCACGGACACGCACATACCCATGTCTTCCACTGAAAACCATACCCGTGTCTTCCAGAG